GGGTATTCGTGTTGAGTTTATTTACAAGTTGATTTGAACGAACGGTGAGTTTCATCCGGTTAACGGAAACAGCTTTAAAACAACCATGCTCTTATAGTCATCGGTTTCTATAAGACTAAATGTGTACCGTCTTGAGATGTTAGTCAAGTACTATCAAAACCCAAGGGATTTTGTTTAGCACTTGATAACGACTATTTGAAATGCATCCTTGTCGGTGCCAAGCACTTCTTACGTCAAAGGAAATTTTGTTTTTATCTATAGGGAGAGCGGACACCTTGTTTTCTTGGGAACGCTGACACCTTCAAGAGCTAAATGTCATAATCCATTCAGAGTATACGTCATCAAAGGAATACGATATTCAGATCTGCATGTTTAACAGTTTAAAGTATAGTCCGATCACCCCCTGGTAGTGATGTAGATGAAATTATAAGACAAGTAGGAGAACATGATCTAAACGATTTTTTACCTAATTACATTAAATAAATTTAACTTTCAATATCCTATTGTATTGCATAAAAAACTACATTCGGATGATGTAATATGTCATTGCATTGTCCGTACATTTAATGAGGAGACGCACAAAGTTATCAAATTTTGCACTGGGTCGATTTTTTGAAAGTCTTTGCCACTGTTTGCGATCGTGTTTAAAGCCCACTGTACTACTTGTATAGCTACTTGCTCCCTCTTATAGAAAATGCCTAATCGGTGACCATTGGTTCCCCATGATCCTCTTTTTCTTATGTTAATTGAGAGCTGAGTTGATGAGATAGCCACCTGTCAGTGACCTTCCTGGGTGGTCTAATCCCTCCTAGCTAAACTAGTGCAGATGGGCTTTAAGGTTTATTTGCATATTCATAAATGCAGAATGTAGGTCGGAAAATTATCAATGTGCAATTTTTAGAGTATGAGCATGGGGTTGTGTCAGTGGTGAATGTTAGAAAGGAAGCGGGATCAAAACAGTAGGACGAAGGGAAAAAAGAAAAAGGAAGAGACGGTTCCGATCTCATTAAGGAAAGGGTCGGGTAAAGGTATTACGAACGATTATAGGAGCCCCTGTTTTACCCGTCTATATTGATTATATCAAGGCAGTCAGCCATCCTGTTCAGGATCACGAGAAATGCCTAACCGATTTCCAAAAATGGAATGGAACGGCCAGCTACGCTGGCAAGGGTACAAGTTCAAGAAAAAGGAAGGTAGCTATTTTAAGGTCAAAAGTAGGGTGGAATGAGTTTGAAGTGAGAGAGGAAGAGGGAGAGGGCCATATAAGGGGGCAGGTATAGTGGGGAGCAGAGATATAGAGGGTAGAGTGAGAGGGTGGGGGGGGGGGTGTCGGAAACAAATTATGTACATGACAGAGAGTTAGAGGGAGGAGAGGGGGGCAATGAGGGTATGATATATTAGGAAAAAGTCATCAAAATATGCAAAAAAGGGAAGAATATTTAGTTTCTCTAGAAATGAAGTTGAGAATAAATCTAGATTTTTTCCGGAAGTGTAAGAGGCGGGGACAGAAAATAACATCAGTTGATGAACATGATCTCAAGATAATTTGGGTTGCAAAAGTTTGATGGTATAATTACTTTAGCGTAAGTGAAATGAGGAATCTTATGCCTCATTTAGAAACAAATCGCCTGAACGAATTTCCCTCTCTTTTGGGTTAAACATACAGAGGCGGTACCTATTTTTATCAGTGCTATATAAAACTGTAAACATGAGATCATATCAAACTTTATTGAACTATAATATATTCTCTGACAACTGGGTGTGCATTTTAAAGATTACGATAAATCAAATTAATCCAATTTATCAATGTTTAAATAAACTTTTTTTTTCTTTCTTTAACCCTGTCTATGAAGATGTGTTATCATTATCACCATCTAACAGAGTAGGCACAAGAGATTCGGTGAGTGCGGGCGGAACAAACATTTGCGTCATCACGGTTGTTCCAAACACTGGCGGGATTGGGTGGGGGAGGGGGTGGGGGGCAAAGAGAAACTGGCGAATTTCCAAATCCCTAAATACGTTATATGATTCACAAAGTAGTATCTGCTTTTGACGGACAATAATTACACATGGGGGGGGGGGGGGGGGCTATGGGTTGGGGATTCCCCCTGTGATTTTAAATGCACAAAATAACATTGTCACTTTTGAAAGAAAATTGGTGGATTAAACACTAAAATTGGGGTGGGAGTGGGTGAACATTTCAGAAATTTGAGACTTGAAATTGCTCAGATGAGTAATGATGCACACAAGTTGTGAATTTTGAAAGATAAATGATAATGCACATTCGAGATGGTTGTTTGGGGCTCCCCTGATAGACTTCGCACAGGGGTGGGGCGATGCAAATACAAAATGCATAACAATAGGGATACACAGATGACACAGACACTGACTGTGAGTGTGGAACATCCGTGCAATCTATGTAACTTCTATTAAGATGCCCACTCCTAGATGACTAATGCTGCCTGGAAGACCTATAGTGGCAGCACTATGAGAAGGATCTTCAGTGTGCAAGAGCCTGGCAGAAAATTTGAGCTCAGATGATGGACACGAAAGAAGAAGACTGCACTGATTGAACTTCAGTAAATATATCAATTTACCTAATATGTTCTCTATTTGAAAAAAGAGAGAAAACTCAGTAGGAGGACACACGCGCCCCTCCCCCACTATGCCCCACCCCAGATTTAGTCATACAACCGTGTTCCCGTCAAACTTTGACATTAATATGCTATCCTAAAAAACAATAGCTCCTTATATCCATGCCTCACGATGTTTTATGGAACTAAATCCCATGCAACCATAGCCTATCACATCCTTCATCAATTTTAGTTTAGTCACATCTGTATTTTGACCCCCTTTCTCTCTCTCTCTCTCTCTCTCTCTCTCTCTCTCTCTCTCTCTCCCTCTCTCTCTCTTTCTTCTCCTCTTTTTCGCTTTTCACTTCCTTTCACATTTCTTCTTACCTTCTTTTTTACTTTCCCATTCTTCATTGCAAATCACGGGGGCAGTTAACTCCGTGTCCCCCTAAATCCGAAGCGCCCCACTGTATTAGACGTAACTGCAGTGTAGTCATGGTAGCGGTATAGCAGCAGTCGTAGTAGTAGTAATATGGTAGTAAAAGAAGTAGTAGTAGAAGTAGTGATGGTGGTGGTAGCTTGGTATAGTGGTGTAAGTAGTGGTAGAAGTAGTAATATTAGTGCTGGTATAGTAGTAGTAGTAGTAGTAGTAGTAGTAGTAGTAGTAGTAGTAGTAGTAATACTAGTAGAAGTAGTATTAGTAGTAGTAATAGTAGTAGTAGTAGTATAGTAGTAGTAGTAGTAGTAGTAGTAGTAGTAGTCGTAGTAGTTGCAGTAATAGTTATAAATTTGATGTTGTCGTTTGTTTTCATTATTATTTATTTGATAATTTGTATTTAATTTTTTAATTGTACCGTTGCGTATGATACTGGTTTGCGCTTGAAAGTATTTTGAACTTTTTCAGCATGGGGCCATGATTCAATGCACTGTCTTTAAAAAAATTGAATTCATCAATACAACCAATTTAATTATTTTTTTGTCTAAGCATTTTCAGTGTCAAGGTACCTTATTAACACTTTAAAGAATTTAGAGTTTACAAGACTGGGGAATTCACTAAAATTGTTTTTATAAAATGAAATCACTGATTTCTTATAATGACATCGTGATATTTACTGAGTTTGACGATTACGGATTGATAGGTTCGACACTTATTTTCTTGTATCTATTTCCTCCATTCAAAGCCGCCTGATGTCATCAATAATTAGGTGATAATTAGTAGTCTGTCGCTTTTAATTCTAATGGGGGAGGGGCCGGGGGTAATGTGATAATTTTAACTTGATTTGAGGCTGTAACCACACTGAAGTAAAACTATTTCTAGCAGAGCTATGACATAAGTGCAACAGGTCGCCCAAAACTGTAACATTGGACATTTTCATTTCCCTGACAGGAAAAGTATAACGTATCTGCTAAGAAAATAAAAATAACTATCCCTAAAAAAATATTAATAGCCAACGTAAGAAAATAAGTAGGAAACTTCATATATCACCTGGATGAATATAATTAGCACTTTATTAATACTCACATTATATTCATCACTAACCGCAATATAAATTTCATTATCACGCGTTACATCCCCAAAGAGGAACACACGTCCTCGAACTTCGACTAGGTTGAGTCGTATCAAAGAAAAAAGTCATGCATGCATTATTCATCCCTTTGTGACTTCCAGGTCACTTTGGTTACCCCAGCTATCACAGTCACACACGCTTATGCACCCCTTCCCCCTTCCCCTCCCACTCAACATGGGTACCAACACGTAGGGGCACACACAATCCTTGTTAGAGGTGCACACGCATCTCTTTTGGGGAACCCATGTAGACCCCGCCCACCATAGCCACTGCGCATGCGCATAGGAGGGTATGCAACTACGGCAGCTAATCACAGACTACCCTTGATATTCGTCATAGAAACCCGTCACTGAACTTGTCTTTCTACCTCCTTTGTTAACGTGAGAGGGGATGGGGATTTGATCGCGACAGGAGAACCTACTTCGTTCCTGAAAGAAAGTCATGATTTGAAAACTTTCATTGTGATTTTCATTTGCGTTTCACTCGCACCGAAACACAGTTGACATATTCGCTGTCATTCGATCTGTGTTAGGACTAGTGGACGAACTAACTGTGTTTAGTTTGCATCCTGTTCGTTAATTAATTCCTATTTTCGAAATTTGTATTCATCAAATCTCACTTGTAAACAGCATGTTGTGTCTCCATCAGTAGCTGAGCATGAAGCTCTCCTTACAGGCCTTTTAGTCTGGAGCTAAAAGCATCGTCATTACACTGTCAGCTTACTTACCAGACGCATCTTGACATCAGCAAGTTACAATTTATCAATTTCGCAGCACTTGATGGTCCACTTACCGATCAAGCAAGTTTGGCATCTATTTTCTCTCAAACATTCCGCGTGATCGCGGTTTATTCTCCCACTACTTTGGAGATTCGTTAAGCTGGATTAATGCATCATGTCTAACCGGGATTTCTCCATTAAAGTCGAACAGTCGCACCCAGATTTGAGTGATTTTCGTGATCTTCCCGATTTCTGTGAATTTCGGAACGGAGACCTGAGTAACCAGCGGAATGCAGGTACGGGAGGAGGAGAAGGGCGATGCGGCAGTGATGGTGTGACCATCGCTATGAGCAATGGTATTACTCGTACCAACAACATCCCACTCAATGGGAACGCTACCTTTGGATTTGGGAGTGCAGGAGGAGGGCTAGATGAAATTGGTCTTGATGGCCATGATGGTGGTGGTGGTGGTGGTAGAGGAAGTGGAGGAGGAGGAGGAGGTGGTGGTGGTGGCGGCGGCGGCGGCGGCGGTGGTGATGGCGACGGCGATGGAGGCGGACGAAGAGGTAGAGAACGTAGAGATCGTAAGAAACGATCAAGTAAGGACACTGTCTCCACTGGCGAAGATCGTCCTCAACCTCTCGGTCCAGGGCAACTGAAGATGAAGATCGACCGACCGGTGTACACCAACCTGGAATTCAACCACAAGTTTACACCTCATCAAGAAGTCAAGACAGCCAGGCAACGGATCGAGAAAAAGATGAAGCAGTTCAAGTAAGATATACAGTGCATGTTGAATATATTTTAAAAAAGGCACCCATTAGATCATCTAAGTCAAATGTCGTTTGATACACTACATGATAACTAAGCATAGATCATGCTACGAAACAGTTTGATATAGTAATTAACGCTCACAAAAATTGAAAAATAATGCATATTAGCGATCATAATTCCAGAAATGTTGTTTCCGGAAGAATAATAATACCATTATGTTAACATACTTTCTATTATAAAAATTTTAGAGCCAATGTGAAATGTTGAATAAATCAAAATGACCTTCGCACCCCGATTGTGATCAACGAAATATTTAGCAATTAACACTCCACGTCTCTGCTATCCAATCAAACTATGAGGGACAATGTACATTGCATTTTAAGATTGAATATAATGACAAACCTGAAACAGGTTAATTTAGAGGAGGATTTGATTACTAGATTTGTCAAGACTGACATTATTCCCCATTGCGATGATTCCGTATTGCCTAAAATTATGTAACGCGTGCAAACAAAACATTAAATTTCCTTCTTTTAGCATCATGTTATATTCACTTTTATAGTTGATACATCTAACGTTAGCACATTTGCTTCTTTAAGTACTGTAGTATGAAGTATATACTGAAGTATGTGTTTAAACCAGTCTACCAGAAGCAATCTAAACTTAATTATGGCAATTTTTCAGTTGTGGAAACGCAGTTAAATCGGCCGCACAATCGGTGCTTCCTGTGTGCAAGTGGATACCTGCTTACAAATTCAGGGAGTATCTGTCATCTGATTTGATCGCTGGGATTACCATGGGCATCGTCAATATTCCTCAAGGTAAGATTATGGTATGGTAAAGAGAGTGGGAGGGAAAGAGAGATAGAGAGAGAGGGGAAAGAGAGAGAGAGAGAGAGAGAGAGAGAGAGAGAGAGAGGGGGGAGAGGGTGGGAGAGAGAGAGAGGGGGGGGGATTGGGTTGGGGAGCACAGAACGCTCCTTCTTTAAGACATCGCTGGTATTATTTCCCCTCAATAAAATTATTATAAGGCAAGTATTCAAGGCATGTCTTCTTACCGTACCCCTATTTTATTTTACTTCACCTGAGCCGAGAGTGAGGAATGTAGCTACAGATCTTTCTAAACTACGTCAGTTTCATGGCATGGATTTGAAACCTGTATACGATGTGGTACATGGTACCACATGAGAAATGAGAAAGGGAGAGAATAAAGGACAGACAGAGAGAGACAGAGAGAGAAAACAGAGAGGAGAGAGACATACAGACAGAGAGACGAAGACAGCGGGAGGGAGGGGAGAGACATAGAGACATACAGAGAGCGACAGAGACAGTAGGAAGGAGGGGAGAGACATAGAGGCAGACCAAGGAGATACTAGGACAGACAGACAGACACAACCATACTTGCAAGACCGTCGTGAGATAACATGAGACAGAGCGTGTGAATTCTGAAATCTTTAATAGGCAAGCGTGGTATAGTCTAGCTTGGAGAGCAAAACTAATTCGTAAAAATAATTCTTTTGAAAACGTTGTCCACTTGTATTCCTTGCGTGCTTCTGTATAAGCTCTTTAATGCTCCTTCTCTTTCTCTAATATCTATAGCGTCAATGTTAGCTTAGGCACGAGACAGACAAGTTTAGGTAGGGGAATATTTAGAAATCTCGACACTTGAAAAGTCATACTTTATCCCTCATTTTGTATCCTTCAACTCGATGCCAGTGTGCTTGGCGTTGAGGCACAGAAGGGAAAGTAAATACCCTTTAAGCCTGAGATGGGAAGAAGAAACGAATGTGGGCTGAACTTCATGATAGTGTTTATTTTTCACAACAAAGTTGCTGGTTGCCACTTGGCTAGTTTCTTATCGTTACCTACTTGGACGAGACTAAAATAAATGACTCTATGCACTTTCTTGATTGATTTTTAATAGGTTAAGTTTTAAAGAGATGGACGGATAATAAGCTCCATGGAAATGGCTAAATATTTATGCTAGTTTCGATTGAGTTGATAAGACCATACATAAACAAATCCACAAACAGACAGTAAATTTTCTGTTTGAATAAAAGTCACTAATCTAAAACTTCATCACGACGCAATAATCCACGAAAAGCATTGTTTTTATCATTATGATAGATTATGTCGATAATCCTTTGCTGTAATTTTTGGTGAGCTTTCATTAGATTAATATGTAAAGAAGACTATATTATGTTCGACTTGTTCGCAGAAAATGAGATTAATTAACACTTCGAGATCAAAATCAATGAATTTATAAAGCATTGGTTACAACGGAACAAACTACATTTATCGTCGTCATAAAAAATCGATTGTTTGATATTCGACCAATGTCTCATCATCCAATGAGAGATAATGTATGTATTGGGTAAAAGTTATCGCAATGTCTCTATCTCCTTCAAAATAATTTTAATGTTATCTTGGTTTTCAATGAAAAATGTATTTAATAAGTATATCGCAAACAAACATGAACTATTTAAACAAGAATTGAGAGAGGGAATGAGATACAGATAAAGGATGAAAGAGGAAGGAATGATTATTTCTTGCTGTGTAAGGAAAATGTTCTCCAAAGCTCTTCATAGTTCTCAAAGTGTTTCGTAGCCAGACAATCTGCTCAAGGGAGTAAACTTCGAACTAATATGAATTTGATGATTCTGATGACAAAGATCGAGGCGCCAAATTGAGCAGCTGCATCAGAACAAAAATTAAGTTTGCAAGGGTTTGAACAAAAGTCATTTGGTTACAGGAGCAATATACCTCAACCCTTTAGTTGGAGAAATCACTTTCTTTTTTTGTTAATGAGGAGTGCCTTTCCTGAGTGGGGTTTAAGTTGGGAGTTTGACAGCCCTGGGGAACAAATGCCACACGCCCCGGCTGTATCAACCCGCAAACCAGTGAGCTAAACATAGAAACGCAATGACATAAAAAGAGCACCCTTGTCGAGTACCTTAATCTAACAGGGGGTCGGGAGTACAAAGACCTAGAGTGGAAATGGCAGGCAGAAGGAACCCAAGAGAAGCTTTCTTGGCAAGGATGTGAGTCAGTATACACGTGAGCTTCATGGATGATATGAACAAGGATTAGTGTACACAAGTAGAAAGATAGAGAGTGGAGGGGGAGGGGGAGGGGGGCAGACAAGAAAGAGAGAGAGAGAGAGAACCCCTCTCCACCATTGCATTTCTCTTTACTCTCATCGGCCATGAAAATGAGGCCTATAGGGATAAAAATATTATTTCCTTAAGAAAATGATCTGAAGAATGTGCCTGTGAACATTAATGATTGCATAGATAATTATTTTCACTTAAATAAAATACAGAATAAAGCTTCATACACAGAATGATACGCTGAATCAAGGCTTGGTGACTCATTAGGAGGCTCTCAAAACCCATCACAACAATTTAGTTATAAAAGCCTATTTATCATAAGCAAGCGATACGATTTAAGACTATAAGAAAGCAATATTTCATTTTCAACAATTTAATATTGTTGGCATCGTCTCGTTTTCATTGCCCTGACTTTTTTCTGATCAGGAAGATGACATATCGTTACTAGACGTCGTGGCAGCAGACAACCATATCCTCACACACACTGCCTGTAATTATAGAGAGGAAATTCCCTCGATCTAACGCAATTTGAACATGACCCAACCGTAATGTAGCCTGGATAATTTTAGCCGTACCCGGATGTGTTTCTATGGTAACACCGGGGGGACTTCATTAATGTATTTAGAATCCTCAATGTATCTTCCTTACGACTTGGCGATGGGTTGACGGTTTCTTCAAGAGTGTGTGCTGTGTACTGTGTATTGTCAACTTCACCTTTGGCCGTTGTTTTGGCCCATAAAATATTCTAGAATGCTTGGAATAAATACGTATTTAGACCTTATCACAACTTCCTGAAAATGACATCATATTCAACTTATCTTAACGTAGTCGCTGCCAATGTTTATTTTTTCCCTTCATTAAGACTCCGTCCTAATAAGACAAGTCTAACAGATGCAATTATTGTCAGACCGATCAAAGAACGATGCGGAGATAGTGAATAAGGCTCTAAGATAATTTTATGTTAAAATCGTCCGCCTCTTAATAAAAAAAGATGAGTAATTTATATTTACTTCCCATATCTCGTGCCAAGTGTTATGTTATTCTCATGAACATACTGCCCATGATTATTTTCTTGAGGTTAAAATTTCGGTCAAATACAACTTTAATGGCATTCACACAGGATGGGGGAGGCCAGCAGGCTGTTTGTGACGTCACAAGAATGGGGGAAACTGAAGTTGACATTTTGACCCGCAGAAAACAGACGAAAGAAATTGAAAGTTTGTCACGTGGTAATGAAATTATTAATCATCGGAAAATTACCTTATTCCTTTCCCCTGACCCCTACCTTCAGTTAATACAAACGAGTTTCCGATGTTCTGTAAATTAGTTAGAGACGGGCGACTTTTTAAGGTTGAGTTCTCAAGGGAATTGCATGGAAATTGCCAAGACACTGACATGAATAGTCACATGATGATGCGGTTAGTATCGGGTCGCTGCATTCGGTTAAGAGGGGATTAATATTTCGCCAAAAGTATGATCAGGTTTTAAGGGAGTAGTGGTTGAAACTGTCCCCTTAGCGACTTGGCAAAGACAAAAATACCCATTTCTTAGTATGTTGCCAAAATGTAAAAATAAAAACCAATGAGACCCTCCCGAGAAAACCCCAAAGGAATGAGATGAGCAATAGTATATTTTTCTTGAGAGGGATTGTGTAGTCTCTTAATGGACAACAGCTGAAATACAGATGATGTGTCATTTCGTAACTATGACCTCTAGAAGAAACCAGTAGAAGAACTAATGTCATGCCGCCCCTGCCCCCTCTCCCGATACGTGCCAGGACCCAAAATGCCCCCAAATACACGTATTTCATTGTTCTAAAGTAAAATCATAATACAAACAAAAGGTGAAAGGATACCCCCTCCCCACACACACACAAGACAAGGATAATCATTACTTGGTCACAAAGTCATATACCAAGTGAAACCAGTAAAAGTCCTCCATGACAGGAATTGGAACTGTAGATAATATTAGTCCTTCACATAGGGTTGCGTACATCTTCAGGGAAATCTACAACTGTGTGTCATCAATCGTACACAACACTTTGACCAAACGTTACAAACCCCAAGATGGCCCAGGGGATGGGAGGGGGCAAATGTATTACAAAATTGAGAAATCCTGAAGGGGGAAAAAAAAAAAAAAAAAAAGCGTTTTAAGGAAATTCATTTCGGACATTGATCTCTTACTTTCATTTCTTTAAGGAAGTAATAGATCATGTGAATTTGAGTGTTTCCTATTGATGCATGCAGCACTTTGGTTGATAGGCGCCTATAAGCACATTATTTATTTATTTTTATCAGCAGTGGCCAAATTAGCAGTTTGAATGACGTACTAGCAACAACAAATATTATGGTACCACTGACGTTGCAGTCCAATATTCCTATCAAAATAATTTGGACTCTGCGTTTGTTGTATCACCTCCATCTTATGTTGTCCACTGTTTTCATAAACATCTCCATGTAAACGAACTGGGTGTGCGTACATTACGTCAAAATGTCTAATTAAGCTTAAGCTGAATCTTAAATCAAACAATACCGTTAACCTTTTGCAATGACAAAGTTATTATGATTCACTTCCACTGCGTATATAATATCTTATCACTGACTGCTATTTTCATACCTACGTCACATGGCCTGTCATCTGAGGTCAGTATGTAAGCTCAAATTGCTCTATCGTTCTAAACAATAAGCAACTAAAATCCCTTGTTTTCAGTAGGGACTATAAGTCATACTTCTATAGCCTTGCTTTGCTTTACTTGAATGACCTGGAAGTTAAATGTAGGGCAATGTGTTTGAGGTCATTTGGTCATCCCCATGATTATTGTCACTAATCCAATATCCTGAAAGGATGAGCCCCAGAGGTTGTAGAATGGTCACCTTGCACCCCTCGGTAGCTACCTCGCACTCACCAGAGACATATGAGCACCACTGACCCGTGATATCTAGGTTTCCAATTGTGGAATCGCGATGCGTGAACTGAAGAGGGTCGTATAGTATTGCACGCGTGAAATTTAATAAATCAAATACGATGGTGATGGGAAAGTTTAGAGGCAAAATAATATTTTCTGCTGCTTGCATTGTCATTGCATGTGATCTGTGTAGCCAATCTACTACTTTTCATAAGTTGCATTGTCATGCTGTGTATATAATATCTTGTCATGAAACGAATTATCTCATGATTGTATTCACATTGTCTGCCACAACAGCCGATGTCTTGTATCGAACGAATATTTTTCCATCATACACACAAATGTATTCCATAATATCTGTTTGAATGCTTTCGTGAAAGATTTTACGAAATTGATTCGTTTTCATATCAATTCATTTTCCAAAGAGAATTATCATTGGTAATTTGAATATCCAGTATGTGTTTGAACTAAACTGAACTAGATTTTAGCGGGGGACTTCCGGTCCCTGAGTCTAAAAGGCTATAATTCGACCTACTTCTGTATATCATTGTCTGTCCTTTCGAAATTCGATCTGTGATATCAGATTAATTATGTCTAGCCTCTAGTCATCATGGTTTCAAATTAATAATACTTAGACCGTTTAAATAATTATTACTGTCAGTTCCAACTTAAGATTCTTCTATTTTTGTCTGTTTTTGCCTGTCTGTTTTTTGTTGTTGCTTGTCTGTTGTTCCTTTTGTATTGTATAACACACCTTTGTTGTCAGTTGTGTGCCTATCATAAGCTGTTTAAACCTTGATGGTTTAGTAAAACTTCAAAGTCGTGTCACCTGAAGGTCAAAAATATATCAGCATCGCCCTAACTATAACTATATCTAACACCTATAATCCGATTTCAGGTGAGGGCAATAATAATAATCCCACTATGATAATTATGAGTCTTCCTCCCTTCTATCTGCTGATTATCTTCAACTCCCTTTCCATCGTTCAAAATTTTCTATTCACGATTTTTAAAATCATTTATTGATCTACTCTGACATACTATTCATTAAACAGTTTCTGTATTTTATCCATTTATTGAAGTATTTATTTTACAGATTTAAACGTCTTGTGCAACTACATCTTCTTTTTTTTATTAAACGTGCATGTCTAAGAATATCATAGAATCTTTTGAAATTTCGTGATTAAAAGCAATGTTTAAAAACGTTCCTGCAGAGACAAAAATATTTTTCATGTCTCGCAATTTTCCCGAGAGGTGTTTTTAAAAAATGATTTGAAAATTAGCTAGTTAAAGATTCAGACCATGAAACTATCGTAACAATTATATTCCATACAGAAATGAGCCCCGACGATAAATGATCGTCCTTGACAAGCATTTCCTTTACTTCTGTCGAGCTGGGGTATTTATAGGAATAGTTTTCATGTTCATGCATCTCTGAAAGTTTGTTAAAAGATAACAGATTTTTCATGTAAAAAAAACGTAATCTTTGCAAACCAAGCACGCTGGTGACTCATTTATTAAATAAACTTGGAACAGGCGAGGCTGCACACGTGGGAGGATAATAAGACGAAAGGGGGTATGGGGATAGAGAGAGGGGGAGGGTGGAAAGAGAGAGAGAGAGGGGGCGGGGGGGGGGGAGAAAGAAAAAGAGAGAGAGATAGAGAGGGGGAGAGGGATAGACAGACATACAGACCGACAGACAGAGACAGAGACAGACAGATAGAGACCAAGAGATAGATAAGCGAGGCGAACTCGACTTATGACAAATGGTGCAGAGGTCTATGAAGAGAGCATCAAATTATAGCGACTTTAGAAGATGAGTGTAATGAGAAAGTATATAAAGGGATATCAAACCTGGAGATATTATAAAATGAAAATAAAAATCGACTAATCTATGAAAGATAGGTTCCGATATGGCACCGGCACCAGATATTAGAAAATAGAAATCCAGATCGACAGGCAAACGTACATATATACAAGATACATATATTATAGCTGTATCAGCAGGTGTTAAATTTGAAACATAAAGAGCGAAAAGATGAATAAGAAGAGAACAAAATATAGAGAGGAAAAGAGAACTCAAAGAGGCATGCAATACAGGAGGTGCCTGGGAGGAGCGTTGTAATTCCACTACGTGTGTTCCCCTAATCCATGATTTCAATGAGGCACACCATAACTCAACAGAAGTGTTCTCTGTGAGATATAGGTGAAGCATCCGTTTAACTTGACTTCCTCACCCTTCTTAATCCCCTATACCCCCTCTTAATCCTTTCATCAGTTTGGTGACATACTGCTCCTATTCAGACTATCAATGTCTAATTCAAGCATCCAATTATCCATTTAAGCTGAAAACCCAGACAAAAAATATCTTCAAAATTCAAAGTAACATTCATACAGTGATTCATAGCGTCTGGGTCGTTGAAGATTGCAGTAATATTGTATGGTATTATCACTGTATTGCTTTTTTTTATATACTTGTTTCTGGTGTTTGTATTTCTGGATTTACTGATCAAACATTCCAGATGCATTGGTAACATTACTCACATGATGTTAGGGAAAATGTGATCAGTGGCTTTAAGGGTATACTGGCGTCATGGAAGGGGGGGGGTGGGTGCACCGTACGAGGAGGCGCGTTAGCTCAGTCGGTAGAGCAGTGGTTTCGTAATCCGGCGACCCGGGTTCGAAACCAAGGCGATGAGCCAGTGCCCTTTGGTAAGGCATTAATCCTCATTACCAGGTCCCTCGGAGAGGACCTAAAGCCGTCGGTCGTCTGGTTGCTTACTTACAAGCATTTATGCTTTCTTAGCAGTCAGGTAAAATAACCACCATACTGGGAATGATGTAGTGATAGGGGTAATAAAATCACGTTACCACTTTTTCCTCTCCATTCTTTTTTCTCTTTTGTATCTATCTTTTTTTGCTCTGTTTTCGTCATACGATGTGGGATGGGGAGGGAGACACATGCCCCCATGCCCCCGTATGCACTCACTGACTGTGATGTACTAGCAATGATTACAAAAATATAATATTATTTTAGATTCGAAAAGGGAATTCTTCAACACTAGTTTAAACAAAAATACATAATCCATGGAAAATCATACCTTGCCAACATTTGCGCTCTTGATCCGCCGTTTATAGATCAATGTCGCCTTGTTAAGCAAACCCGGTTCATGCAAAGTACAAATGATCCACTAATTTTCCCCGTCCTTGGCTCCGGATTGCCCCTCTTTGCACATACACCATTGTCATGATACATCATGAATCATGGATTAACAAAACTAACAATGTCAAGAATAGAGTCAAGCAGACGATACGTACCAATCCGTTTCCCCCTCCCGATTCTATGTTGTCAGCAGCTGTCGAAGGATGCTGTTCAAGGTGACATTAGTGTGATGTCTGCTCCGTAATTATCGCACAGTCATTATGAATATCAAATAAGATCTTGATTTTTGCTAGTCTATTCCTGTTCCTGAACATTTAAAGAGGAAGGGAAAGGGGTAATACAGGGAATTTGATCCGAAAGGAAGGGGTTTGCGAAGCCATTATGGAGTGATTTTGCTGTTGAATGATCAAAGATGGTAAACCTTCTCGCTAGAATGTGAATGGGCAAGAATCTTTAGTTTTTGTTTTAATAATGGCACCATCATCAATTGTTCACCCGCCTTCTTTATTTCTTCCCATGATAACATTAATGCTAACATTTGAATAAAGTCTGCGTTTGATTATCATGTTATTCAATGTGTTATTTACTTTTGAGCGTGTATTTTTTTTTGAGGGGGGGGGGGGCTCCTTTTAATTAACGTATTATTTCAGGTTATGGAAGCTCTCGTTCACAATCTTGTGTTCAAGTAATCGGACAATCTAATGTTATCAGCGACTGTAACAAAATTTCAAGATAGTATCATAATCATGTTTTTTATTATTATTATTTCGTTTTCGATAGGTCTTGCCTATTCCATCCTTGCCGGACTACCTGCTGTCTACGGTCTCTACACTACGTTCTTTCCTGTTCTTATCTACTTCTTCATGGGTACATCCAAACATCTCTCTATGGGTAAGAATTTCTTGAAGATTTAAGATGATGAAGCGATTATTTCTGTCAAAATAACTATCATTGTAATGGATCAAGGATGATCTTTGATATTGAATTATATGCCGTTACTTGTAAATGAATAAAATAGAGACCATCAACTCTCCGTGCCATCCAAAGAAACAGGTACATTTTATTTTGTTCAATTATCAATACGTTAACCAGTCCTCATCCATGTCTCCGATCCTAATTTTGCATATCTTGTTACCGTGACGGATCATCGATCACTTTCATTATTTTGTTGCATCAGCAATTACACAGATATTGTAAAAAGTTTGTCATGTTTTTTTAGTGAATCTCATCAACCTTAGACGTTTGCCTTTAGTTCATAGTGAGCCTCTACTTAACACTCTTTAACTGACCCAAATTATTACATCCTCTATGAGGGTTGATCCGTCGACAGGAGGGAAGGGGGGGGGGGGGGGTTGAGGGCATGTTCCGTCGAACGTGCTGCATAATCCCGAGTCTATTTGGGGAGGGGTGCCCCCAATTCGCTCAAAGATCTGACAATAATTACTCTCTTTAAGAGAGACATACTAGGATATCCAAGGTTATTTGTGAATATAATGAACACAATGATAATTTTGACCAACTGCTATGTCCAAATTGTTCTGGTATTGCCAGAGTGGACGCCTGATCCCAAAGCTCTCTTCCGCTCGTAATCACCCTTAACTTAATTTCACATGTTTGAGCTTTAACTCCCCTGTTTATCTCCGAAGACCACATTTGAAACATTAATTCGTTGCAGGTACCTTTGCTGTGGTGAGTCTGATGTGCCGTGAAACCGTTGGCCGAGTCCTGATGGAGCGTTTTCCCTCCGCCTCTGCGCTGGAGATGGGTCCGCCTCTCGACCTGGAGACGGGTCCGCCTGGAGACAATTTTCAACTCAACGGGACGCATTCGGGCGACGGCCACAATCATGGCGGCACCGACATCGAAGAGGAGAGGGTGAAGATACACGTCGCTCTCTGTCTCATCGTCGGTATCCTACAGGTACAAATCATTATGACGATACGAAGCAATGATAAATTAAACGATGTGTCGATATGCGCTGTATTAAAGTTGTCAGGAATAACGACAAATGTTACATTCATGATTAGGGGCTCGTTTGCAAAACAGGAATTAGGCCCCTTTGATTGAGTCTGACGAAGAAGGGGGAAAGGGAAAAAGGAAGAATTAATTAACGGGAAAAGGGTAGGAGTAGTTGGAGGAGACGATGATTGATGATGATGATGATGAAAATAGTAGTGATGAAGTAGAAAAGGAAGAAAAGGAAGAATTAGGAGAAGAAGAAGGAGGAGGAGAAGAAAAAAAGAAGATTGTGATAAAGAGGGGGTGGACGGCACGTTTCATGAAGAAGAAGAAAATGATAAGATAACCAGAACAATTGAGAACAAAATAAAATTTGACAAAAGGAATTGTAAAAGAAAGGCTGAGAACACAAAGGAGATGTAAGATTATGAATCGAACAGCACCATAAAAATGTCATTAATTCTTCTTTGTACCATCCAGGTTCTGATGGGTATTTGTCGATGTGGCTTTGTGACTGTATACCTCTCTGAGGCCTTGGTACGTGCCTTCACTACAGGAGCAGCCTTCCATGTACTGACCAGTCAAGTTCCATCGGCTCTAGGTATCAATGTCCCTGGAAGATCGCTTGATGACAAGACCCCGGAAATCGTATTTGTAAGTTGATTCTTTTCACCTATAGTATTCAGTGAATGAGTCCCTGCCTAGGTTTCCATCAATTTGGAAATTCAGGTGCCCTTAAGATTTCTGAAAGACACGACATCATCATCCTTCTATGCAAGTTAACGTCTGTGTTGTTTGAGTTGCATCTCGATTCCTTGTGTCTTTCATTTGACAGGCTGTGTGGTAAACTGTTTCTGTTTCCAAACGGACCCTAGAAACATTTTATAAGCCCTTCTTTGAAGATTCGATCAGTATTCAATCTCTGATTGATATTTATTTGTTAAGGAGCTAAAATGATTTTTAACATGTATTGTAGTGATAATATATTCTCTCGTGAGGAAGGCTTTAGGGAGAAAGTGCTGATTATTTTGCATGACGCTATTGTATTGACGATAATGATCATTTCCAAAAATCGTGAGAAACATGAGGGCGCTACAATCTTCATAATCTGAGATCGATGAAGATAAGACCCAAGATTAGACAATGGATGCTATTTAAGGAAGCAGAATAGTTTGTAATATCCCAAGTCATGTTACGTGCAGACCGCATCAAGAGTGCAGGGGAATGAAATAGGATCTGAGATGGATTAATCCAGTGATTTCCACAATTATTGATCCCGTAAATTGATTAGATTTAAGGGGAAGTCAGGGCGTCCATGCAGGATCAGTGACCAAATCATGAATAACAATATGATGAAATAAGCATTGTTATCAGAAGAGTAGATCTAATGTTCGACCACACATTTAAAGTACAGGGTGCATTTAAAAGTATTTGATTGTAATTCATATCTTTTCGAAACTTTAATATCGGGGATTTTGGATATTACCTATAATAAGAGAAAACATTCGGATTTATAAATATTATAAATATCTGCAATTTCAATCTAAGAAGCGACGGAAACCAACACACGGACGATGTACGATGCTCAATGGAATAGATACATCATAACGTATGAATATCTTTAGTCTAAGTCAACTAAGAAGACAATACTATACAGATTACATTCATGTCTGTTGATTAAAAGGTTACCATATTTACTTACCGGGTCAGATAGTAAGATTAGATCATTCTACTCGCTTGATATCATAATTAAAACCCTAAACTCGATTGAAATGAAATGAATAACTTATCAGATTTATGAGATATCCTATAGTGGTTTCTTTCTCAGTAGGAACCCGTTTCAATTTTCCATTGATCTGAACCGTCACTCGCTGAGTAGACCAAATAATACTCGTAACACTGGATCAACTTTCTGCTCTAATTACTGGATTGTCTCGAAATAACAATGGAGTATCAATTTCCAACCACGTCTTCTGTATCAATTTGGGAAACAACATGATTATTCCATTTCCTTCGGTTCTTATCGCATCTAAAATATGATGTAATTGATATCGATAAAGCTGGATTGCACGATCCGACATGATCGAGAATATTTGGGTTAGATAATAGTTCTTGGACTTGCATAATCAACCGCATTTGAATGTGACACACTTGTGTGATTTAATATTTTAATAATCTATTTCATTAACTCACAAGGATTCAAATCCATTCATATTATGTTTTTGGTTGTCATGAAGAGTGTGTTAACTTACGTAATCTCCTCGCGGATTGTTGTCAGAATAGTTACTACATAAATAGACCATTGACAATGTCCTAGACTTTATGATTATCTTTATGTGCCCTATAAAACGTACATTTTTTTAAAAACTGTCATGCAGTGGGCGTTTCACAAAACTTGTCATCAGTGACAAATGACAGTTTTTGTTATAAGCTACTGAAATCCTTACTTCTGATTTGTTATCAACATAACTATCTATCACTGATTTTTGACATTTATCATTGAAAAAAGGCTTTGTGAAACGGGTCCCATGGTCTGCTCTATCTGTAGTTGGGCAATTCATGGCATATCATTGATAAAAACAAATACAAACAAACAACAAACACAAATAGATATGTATGGTTGTGTTACTTTATGTGTTAGTTCTCACACACGAAAAATCTGCATCATCATAACAACTCATCATACTCACCCTAATTTCCCCTGAGCCGCCTAAAAGTCCAAATATGGTATTGCAGACTATAAGCAAGCAATATTTTGATCACTTATCAAAACAAAAATGTTTATTATCCAATTTCTAGTATCTTTTCTAAGACAAAGAATATATTGAAGCGGGGCAGGAACATCAAACAGCATTTTTTTAAACCTAAACAATAAAAATCAAAATGCTTCATTAACTAATATCACTGAAATAGAAAATAATTCGTAGTGTGAGTGCAGTGTCAGGCATGCAGACTAGCATCATCTCAGAAACTTGGTTTAAACAACAAAATTTCAATAAGGGAGAACTTGAATTCAGCCCGAATCTATTCCAATTCCCTTCTTCCAAAACAGGATTTTTGTGTTTTGTTGCTACCTAAGTTCAGTCAATGAGAATAGTATGTTTATATCAGGAGCAGAGGAAGGCTATTTTCAGGAGCAAAAGATGGTTATCTAGTTGAATGTCCGCACTCCACCCCATGATGATGTCCTTCTTTAACATTCACTCTTTGTCTCGTGATTATGGCGGTGTATTATTCATTTCTTGCCGAACCTCTTTCTGACCTCATAATATTCCCCGCAGCTACCGATAAATGCCCCCGTAAATGCCACCTTGATTTAGAACAAATCTCTCAACTCTTCACCGAGAATGACAGAAAAAATGAGCCATGTTAAAGGTGCTATGTCCCTTTTGCAGCCAATATCAAAGTATGTAGAATTTTGCTGGAATTATGAATAATTATGCCACGTATGTCCTATCTGTGAAATGTAAACGATAGCAGTGTCCTATAGTATTCAAATTATGCAAGGAAACCCGTTTACGTTCTAGACTTCACTGTCAGACACTAAGGAGTCACCAACTAACTGACTTCATTTTTTCGTTGGTGATAAAATACATAAAATGAGCTGTAAAGGGTACATGAGCATTTGTCTACATCCATAACTCACTTCTTGTAATGGCCAACATTAAACTGATTGAAACTTTCCGCAGTACAAAACGTACACTGTTCGGTACAAGGGCCTGAAAATCAGATTATTCACTAATTAAAAAGGATTGCAATCCCTAAAGTCGATTCGACAACTAATGCTCGTTATTTTGCACAAAAAGACATATTCAAGCCCTTCTTTTTTGAGGGAAGTTCTAAATTAGTGTTATCTTTCCTTTTTTGGCCTGCAAATTGGACATAGTACCTTTAAAGGGTATATTTAACGCAAGAGCGATGACTCAAAATCACTCTAAAATGTTTGTGGCAACAAGATAACCATGAAAAAAGAAACCATGGGTGACATTTTGTCTACGTGCGTTATAGACGATTTTTTTTCCCTAAAATTATGATAACCATGAATAGAAAATAGGAGGGACATGTCTCAGTAAATACAAGGATGGTCATTTTGCTTTATATTGGCCTTTATTTTTACATTTCAGGAGGTATTTCACGCCTCATGTCTTGTCTGTCACTTTCACATCCACTCGAAAACATTTCTGAAAAAACTAAACCTTCTAGATATCGACTTGTGATTTTGACCCATGCTACGTCATTAAAGCGTCTCATGACGACTGTGACGTAAGTACCTGCAGATAACCTTTTCCCCTGACCGACTTTCTCTCATCATGTCTCTCTCTGCATTACGTATAGGTATGGAAACATCTCTTGACTCATCTGGGCGACAGCAACACAGCAACAATCATCATCTTCATGATATCATTCGGTGTGATCTTCCTGACCAAGGAGATCATTGAAAAGTTTAAGCACAGGATCAAGTTCAACGTCCCCATCGAGCTCATCGTGGTAAGTTTTTTTTTTGGCAACAGACATTATAGAAAAGGTCATCGTGGTCAGTCAGGCAAGCCTTGGCGAAGGAAACCTAAAACATGTTAAATGTCCCGCGACTTCCTTTTGATTTTTCTCTCAATAACAGATTTAATGAAAACAAATACAAAATTGAGAGTGGTTAAAAAGTCGCTGTGCGTTGAGAATATTCTGTAAATGACCTCATGAATTAGTAAAACATTCTTTGAATCAAGCAGTAAGTTTCTTTCTTCAATAGCTTTTGTGTTCCCCTAGAGCAATATTAACGAAACAAAAAAAATCGACAGTGGTCAGAGGACGGTAATCGAGCAAATAAGTGAATTTGAAATCTGGCAACATTCAAAGAACACCTTACAAATATCAACTCACCACCTTATCAAAAATGTAAAAAAAGAAAGATTGAGGGAGAGCAATTTTTTTTTTCTTCTCGCAGGGACTTCTTCATTTTAATTATAATATGACGTCACGTCCGGTTGAACTTCATCCTTCTATTAATCAGTATTTCCTTTATTGCTCCATGAATAAAGGTGATGTCATTACTAATTAGGGTTGATCCAAATGTATCAAGGCTGCTCTACACGGACACAGACTGAATATTAATCCTTTTCCCCTTACCATATTAAAATTAGGGTGACGCTAAAATAATTTTGGTAAAATAGACATCCAAGATAGCTTCAAAATTAATCATTTCTATGGAAACCGCATATCTCTTTAATTTTGTTTTACAATTAGAAAGAACAAAAATAATTTCAGAGGTAACTGAAACAAAAAGGGAAAGGTAAAATTGTAAATGAAATATAAGCGAGCATAGTAAATGACTAAGATGATTTGAGAAATATTTTTTTCCCCATTAATGAAGATCTTGTGGCGAAATTGGTCATAATTTAGTTCTCCCAACAATGAAGGCCACTCATCCAATCTTCAAACTGCAAAGGTGACTACGAACGGAATCATTTTTGAAATTTCATAAAATGGACAGAAAGTTTGCACCGTTTGTTTTAATCATAAGAATAATGATTGTTTTAAAAGAGAAGCAAGTCTTTCCATGTTGGATGATCTATAAACTTGAACGATTGATGCCGACACGGTCTAGCCAGGGCCTATATTAACACACACGTGGGAGTGACAATGTGTCATGCAAAGATAACATCCTAGGCATACAATTATAAAGGCGTGGGAGCAAGCATGGAGCGATAATTTGAAGTTCCAAACCTCCATTTGCTAGGAAACACGCTGAAACACGTGACATAATGTCACCTGACATGTTGGCGATGACGCGTCTGGTTGCCAAGTTATAGTAATTGATGATTTATGTGATTATGGTAATTAGTTTGAAGTGCTTGAAATTGTGCTTCGCACGATTCTCCCAAGCACGTATAGCGAGATTATGGGATTAGTGTTTACGATGAAAACGGGATTTGTTTTATTATTTTACCCCAGTATTTGAGGTATTACGTTGGATCTTGAAGGGGAACCTGCAAGTATGTAGTATGATCAAAAGATATGCTGAATGATGTTTTTTTTTTTTAAAAGACGAAGTAAATTATTGTCTTAGTTATGACCTTTAACATGATTAATCCAAAAATCCAATAAAAAGTCTAAGGTGATTTACCACCAAATTTATTGAAATTATGTTCAGACTGTAACCTTGCATTGAAATCACAATTAGCCACTAGTGCAATTCGTTAGTTTTATCGAGATTCTTAAATAATCAGCAATTCTAAATTGTTAGGATCCAGTGGGGTACTTTAAAATATCTTATTTTACAATCTACATTGCTTTATATAGTGTGGCCATGTTCATGTACACCAGAGTTCCCCCTTAATTGCATGCACACCATGGTTACGCAATAACTTGCCTGTAATTACTTTGGAACATTTCAACGATCTAATGCTGATGTTGAAGTACTATATTGAATTCGGTGGACTTATATAACCCTCCTTTTGTCTTTTTGATGATTTAGTTTTCCTATTTCAGACTCTGTATAAAGCAATGTAGCGTTGAGAGCAATGGGAAGCCATTGCGCATGGGTATAATAGATGGCTGCAGTTTTCAAAGATTGGGCATAATACAACGTGCTATATATTAACTTCGCGATAATGAGCGAATGACAAACACGCTTTGCCTGGATTAGCTTTATCTACATACAAGTCATGTAGACACTATACTTTGACATTCAAACCCACCCTACCCACAAAGTCAAATGGCTTGGGGAAGCATTTTTTATTTTGTTTTCTCTCATGTAATCCCGCCCGCCAAATTTGATTATGAGGATTCCGCGGTATCGGGGTACATGCGGGAAGCAGTATTTGAACAGTGACAGACAGACTTAGAGCCAATCTTAAGCGAATAGTTTGAATCATCAATATTGGCTTTCATGTAATCTAGTTCAAACTATGTAAGCCTCGAGGTTGGTTCCATGTCGACAACTGGGGGTCGTATTACGGGTCTACACCGAACAAAATAATGTCATATCATAATCACATTAGCTACCCGTATTACCCCCCTTCTCCCTCTCTCTTTCTGTTTCCATCTCTGTCTCTGCCCTCCCTCCGCTATATAATATAGTCCTTCTATACAATATTAATATGTCTGTTTGTATATCCCTCCCTCTCTCTGTCTGTTTGTCTGCCAGTTTGCCTAGCTCACACCCCATCTCCCTCTCCCTCTCCCTCGAAGTTCATACACTATTTTTTTCTACCGGATAATAATAATGAGTCACGTCATCAAGACAGCTGTTTGTGTCAATTATTCTTTAAAATTCGAGGTTCAAGTCAGGAGGGCTTAAAGCGAAATTCCGGAGCAAGACACACAAGTGTTATGCATGTATACTAGTCATATGGAGTTTAATACATTAACTCTTTAGGGGTGTCAGACAGTGGAAATTTGTGAAGATAAAAGTTCTCATGTGATGGGATGGGGTTTTAATTATGTGGCGGTTCTATAATTTGGTGTCCCCAATTAGTTTCCGCATCAAGCCGCGAAAGCAGCGAAACCACTGAGTATTGTCGCATTCCTGCTGTGATATCTACATAAAACCACGACTATGCCTGTCATGCAGCAAGCAGTGTTTGGCACTAAGAAAGTATTTTAGTGCCGACTGAAAAACATTTTTTTTTCACTGTAGGTCGAACACACTTTTTGATGTGATTTTTTAGTTATTTCGGGTGGAACCTCTGAACACTTTTAATCCCGTTTTTGTTAATGATCGCGTCGTTTGGTCTTCCCTTTAAAAGAATTGTTTATATAAGAAATATAAGATTACCACATTAAAGAGGGGGGGGGGGAGTTATGGAGATACATATATTTGGATAAAGTGAAACACAACGGTTGCTGTTAGGCCTACTATCATGAACACGGAGGATCAAGAGAGAGTAATTACTTATGTCTTTTTTCCAGGGCACCCGCGACTAACTTTTAATTATTTTAATACATAATTACCATTTTGTTAACAAATTTGAACCTTTTTCTTTAGTACCTGAAGGCAGTCTGGTGAAGACTTTTGTTTACATTGCCTTAATTGCCCCTCTCACTTTTTTATTTACTTATTCTTAAATAACACAAAGAATGGTGGCGCATTGCAATTACATCATAGGCATATACCTTTTGGGCTTCTTTACCATTTATTTTTCATATTTTGAGAGAACCCTCTCCCCACCCCTTCACATGCCAGGCCCCTAGTTGCTCCCATGCAGGTGAAACTGTGGTCACTGGGTCCCCAAGCACGTGGTAGACGTTCAAATTTAATATTTCAGCTCAATTTAAGCGCGTTAAATTCATGTTCTGCGGAGGATATTTTCTCTCTGCTTAATTGAAAGATCGACATGAGAGAAACGTGATACTTCCGTGCTCAGAAAATTAGATTTATCGCGGGATCGGGAAGAAAGGTGTGTACCCTAAATACCGCGTGCTATTTCACGTGTTATTTCGACATGTCAAGTATTATAGTAAAGTATTTTAGTCTTGACGAACTTTTTTTTAAAATATTAGGTCAACATTTATTTAAATGGTTGATGGAGAAAAAAGAAGAAAAAAAATCGGATTAAAAAAAAAATAAGCCCTCTACAAACAAGCTTGTGTCTACTGTATCATGAATATTAAACGTTGTGAATAAAACTATTGCGATTGTAAACTATTTCTGCTGGATTGTACTGTTTTATTAAAGCGATCAAGTTTAACAAGAAAAGTTAGGTCAATGTTTTCTTGCAGTATAATGAAGTGTGATGATTGTATTCTTGAGAAATGATATCAATTCCTTGTTGTCCTTTTTTTCTTCAAAATTCAGGTGGCCATCTCCATCATTGTATCCAAATTCGCCTTCATGCACAGTCGCTATGGTGTGGACACTATCTTCGAGATCAAAACAGGGTATGGATAATCATTGCATAGATATTATACATTTCATCATGAAATTGTTTTGGAAGAATAAGATGGGCACCGCTCATTTGCAGTGACAACCCCCTCCTCCCCCCCCCCCCCCCTCTCACTCACGGACATACACATTTGAATTTCTCCCGGTAAATCCATAATCATTGTCGATAACTTCCACTGTCTTTTTGTGGGTTTGGGGTAATAATCTGGTGTTTCATCGGCAAATTTCAAAACTCATTATATCGGGAAAAAGACATCTCAGAACATGAAATGGCTTGTTGACCCTTCCAATCGCTAAACAATGAGTAAATATAGTATCTGCAGTATTAAATATTCGATATAATTTCTTTGTTTATATTTCAGTTTCCCTGCCCCACGTATCCCAAGCATGTTCGGCACTCTCTTCGGTTCGCTGATTGGTGACAGTTTCGCCATCGCCATCGTCGCCTTTGCCCTGTCCGTGTCACTCTCGAAGACCTTCGCTACCAGGAACAACTACGAAATCGATGCAAACCAGGTAAAACGAACGTTAAAAAGTTATAATCAATGAAAACGAGGTATGGAGAAAAAACTATAAAATAAATAAGAATATTGTCAACATTTTCCAGGTGCCTTTGGGTATGAGATTTTGTCTAAGAGCACATAAAGGGGGTACATTTTCTTTCTGTATTCGATGTGTACTAATTCAGCTCACTGTGTTTTGCCCGGGAGCACGTGAGCCCACCCCCGTGTTCCCATGGGTCTGCCAGTGCACAATTTAAGAGATAGATAAATAAGCACAGATAACTAAGACAAAGAGAAATAGAATGTCATGACTATAAAGCTATAATAGGTAAACAAATTCTAGCAAGGGAAGTAGAAAAATAAGAATAATTGATTCACTTAATTAGAGAAAATCAACTTGTCAGTTATATTACATATACAAACTCTTCCAGACGAATGATCTAGACATAATTGCTCTTGGGTCATTATCCTGTACAATTCCGATTTCCTAAAACCTCATGTAGGCCTATTGACCTTAAACCCAACCTGAAATCCATTTGCAATCATATTCCTAAATCCTTGACAATATAATGCCCGGAGCAGTCACCATAAAACAAAGACGAAATTCTTGCACCGTCATCATTGTCATAAACCACTGTACATTCCCATATTTCTTGATACCACATGTTTCTTCACAACAATGCCTCCAGAAATAGACATAAAATAGAAAAAACGGATCACGTGACACATTCCTATCCAAATCAAGCTCTTACAATGGTATCATCTTTCAATCCGCTCTCGGTTTCTCAATTATTCCAATTTCCTCTCCTCTGTGAGCAATTTAGCGGATATTCCATGAGTCACGACCAGAATAGCTTTTGAACTATTCTTGGCAACTCCAAGATACAATGTGATGAACTGATGAAGTAGCATTTTTACCATTGCGAAAACAATATTTCATTGTAGAAAACTTGTATTAAGTTTCTAATCTATTCAACAATTACCCCCCCCCCCCCTCCTTTGTCAAAGTGAGATTTGGAGCCACGAAAGTCTTCAATAGTCTAATTAAATCATTTTCGAAATTCATAACAAAATAGAATGAACTGGCATTTGAAAATGTAGATAATGAGCTATAACCAATTAAATTTTCCACATTTGTTTTATTAACCTAAACAGGAAATGTTGTCATATGGAGTCTCGAACATTGTCTCATCGTTCTTCCATTGTTTTGTCTGCTGTGGAGCTCTTGCTCGTACATCCATACAAGAAGCTGTCGGAGGAAAGACACAGGTATTTTATATTCACTTATATTCCTAGCTTATATCATTATTATAAAATAATTTATGTAATCTAAAACAAGGGTGAATTAAACTATCCCTGTGTATCTTTAATCACAAGAAATCGGTGAATCGTAAATATTATTAAATCATTGTAATATCTAAAATGTCACTTTTACACCCCTTACGTTTTAAAAGAGAATTCAAATGAATACTAAAGGGTATCTCCATTTCTGTCTGTTTCAATCAATACCGTGTTTGGATACGAAGTTGCCGATTGCCAGACCATAAGAAAAAGATAACATAAAGGATAATGCTGAACCACAATTCTATTTCACTCTCTTTTTCAGATCGTCACCCTGGTTTCATCTACTATGGTCATGTTGGTATTGCTCTTCATGGCTCCATGGTTCGAACCTCTGCCTAAGGTGAGTAAATTCATACCAAAAACATAGTGGCATAACCATAATCTAGCCTGGAAGGGGCACTGACGATATGGGGGGGGGGGGTTCGCATGCACAGGTCTTATTAATATGTGAATAAAACGCGGAAGAGCAAGGCCGCCGAATAGGGTGAGGGTGAATACATTGTTATTTACATTGCATTAATTGCCCCTCTCACCTTTTCTCTTTACTTACTTCTTTTATTTCTTTTCGTCATTCGGTAGTGGAGCAGGGAATGTGCCCCCTGCCCCATAACCATTGAGGCAACGCTATACTGCCAAACTCTTCCAATTTAACGTGTACACCGTTGCTGCGTCATAACTTGTTGCTGCTGCTGAAGTGGGAACTTACCAGCCTTTGATAAAGAGATGACAAGAATATTTTTGCAGGTCGTTACCCTGGGTATAATCTATGGTCGTTATCTGACGTTTGAAAATATGTATACTTCCTCAATCAGTTACTCATCCTTCAATAGAGAATCGAATATTACATGATAATGATTTTGAAACATGTTTATCATTAAAAAATTGTATAACAAATACCATATTTTCCTCTTTTGTTATATTCCAGTCTGTGCTGGCAGCCATCATCTGTGCTGGTCTAAAAGGCATGTTCCTTCAGTTCAGGGATCTGCATTTCTTGTTCCGATATTCCAAATACGATTTCGTAAGTATTTTTTTGAATCATTAAGCATATCGTATACATTTAAAGATAGTATATAAATTTAGTCAAAATTTGAAACCTTCAATTTTTTAATAAATGAGATAATAAGATAAAATTCATGTTGTACAAATCACATTATCTTTATTCTTTATTCTTTATATTAACTTTTAAACTGTAATGAAAAGAAAGCGATGTTATACAAGACATCAGAAGTAAATTTGTCATACTCATTTGTCGATAAGTTGTCCATAATCATGTGTTTGATATTTCAAAGAACGGAAAATAACTATCCACATAAAACTTATCAAAATTAATCTACGATTTTTTATCGGCAAAAATCAGTTTCAGGTTGAAGTCATATTGATTTTGCAAATGGTTCACAGACAATCAAATGTTATAATAGAAAAAAAACATAAAAATGAAAAATTACCCCCTCCTCCCTCTAACATCTCAAATAATTTTTTTACAGATCATCTGGGTTTCTACCTGGGCCGCTGTGGTCTTCATCGGAGTCGATCTCGGTCTCGGAGTCGGCGTCATCGTCGCCCTCTTCGTCACCGTGGTCAGAACGCAAACACCACACTTCTCCACCAGGGGTAATGTCAACGGAACCGAACTCTACAAGAACATCAAGCGATACCCAAATGTAAGTCATCTTGTCAATACTTGTCATCTAATTGTCTTTATCAATTTACTTCATTTCTCTGTACAACAACAAGAATTGAAACTTACGCTTCTAGCTTGCTTACAGCAATACACCGTGACACATTTATCTCCGATTTATAAATGAGATAGAGAATTTGTTTCGGGTCCGAAATGTGTAGCATTAGATGAGGTTTAAAATGCCATATCACAAACTGAATACTTAATAGAATGCTATAAAACGTTCGACATATATCATGAAAAGCGTCGACTCTAACTCTCAAATACAAATATGTGCACCTTTAGTTTTCTCCCCTCTCTCTATCTGGCTTCCTACCTCTCTTCTCTACCCCTCCCCCTTTCGTCACCCCTCTTTCTCTCTGAATGCAAAACAATATAAGGATTATCTCGATCCCTTCCTCCAGCATTGTTACCCTTTTGTAATCTTACTGTATCAGATGAATATCATTTTCAGAACTGTATTTTTGGACGATACCCAAGACGACAAGAATATTATTTTAGTTTGATCCTGTCGAGATAGTACAGTGGTATTGGGTGTAGATATTGTTTTAAGTTAACGATACATTTAATTCCTCTCTTCTTCCCTCTCTTCCTCCGTCACCCCATTCCCCCTCTCTCGCTCTCTCTCTCTCTCTCTCTCTCTCTTTCTCCCTTTCATTTATATGCTCTAAATTGAAATTAATAATTATCAGAAAATTTAACGAAAATGATGAAGAAAAAAAAAACCCAATATTTAAAAAAATGAACGATGCATAGTCTTGTTATCTAAATTACATCATCAGATAACATTGTTCAATTTACTTTTCACTATCTCTTCATTAATAGAAAAAAAAATCGTTTAAATAATTTCCCGATGTGTTTGAGAAACTGGTCATCAGTATATTGTATTGCTCCTTTCTATTTCGTTACAGGCCAAAGAGTACGACCAAGTCAAGATCGTCCAGATGCAGGGCTCATTGTACTTTGCCAATGCCGAGATGTTCCGCAACCATGTCTACGATGCCGTGGACATCAACCCGGTCAAGGTGCTGGTCAAGATCCAGAAAGCACAGGCCAAAGACAAGAAGATCCAGAAGAAGACGGAAAACGAAGACGTACCCATTGACATCATTGAACTGACCGGTGCAAACGAGGTATGCATGGCTAAAGTCTTGTGACCTTATTTTGTCTTGTAACAAACCAGGGCCCCGTCTTACAAGGAGTTGATATCAATCGCAACTTATTTGCGACTGATATCAATCGCAACTATGTATATAAGAGATATGAGCCTGCAAACTTGCGATTGCTTGGTGGACTTTCGATTGATTTGGACCGATCGCAACTCTTTGTAAGACGGGGCCCAGTTTATTTAAATTATGGATCTTTTCTTCTCATTACACTTTTCAAAGGACAGTTTAATTAATCATTTACGTAATGGAAAGAGAAAGAAAGAAAAAAAAATCATTGATAATTTCGAGTTCATGTTTTTTGTTTGAAGTAAATAGTAAGAATGTTATAATTAATTCTTAAGCATTAAAGTCTCTAAATTGGCAAAGCTGAGCAAAACTTAATCGTCACTATTTTCGTTATAGAATGGCACTTTTTTTTTGGGGGGGGGCTGGGGTCTTGTACTATGAGGAGTAAAATAAACAAATAATCATTACCAATTTGAGGAGGGAAATCCGATTGACCTCTATATAGTAAAGTCGGAACTGCTATGGATTAACCTGTAGGGAATCTTTTTCATAAGCAATATGTACCTAATGATGTCTATACTAACTCTCTCTCCCTCCCCCCCCCCCCCGCCCCTCGCAGGAGCAAGTCCGAGAACACAACTTGAAGATCAGAGCCATCATCATCGACTGCGGTCACTTCGGCTTCGTTGACTCGATGGGAGCTAAGACGATGGCCGCCTTAGTCAAAGACTTCAAAGCTGTTGGTGTGTGTGTTGTGCTGAGTGGCTGCTCAGGTTAGTAAGACAACATCTTTGAGAAAATACAAAAAACATTCCCTCAATGTCCGAAAAAACTCAGGGCTCCGATTGGCCTTTAAAAGCCACCTCCGAACCCACACCTAATTTATCTAATGTCATTTTCATTTGGGGATTTACTTTCATTCTTATTGTTCGTCCTCCTCTTTTTGAAGACAAACAAGATTGAAACTCATAGCAAATGGCAAATCGAGTCTATGGAGGCATTTTCCATTGCCTCGTATAAAAAAATATAGGTCTAACAATCATATCTACAAAAAATATTGTATGAAACACTACGTTGATTTTACCAATCTGGAAATTTCAAACCAAAATTCTTATTTGAATCTCAGTTTATACGTAAGATGATTAGAATCTAATCACATGTTTGATTTAATTTTTCATCTCCAGATCACGTGATGCAATCTTTGTCCTGCCTAAGTACGATCAAGAAAGAACTATTCTATATGACCGTTCACGACGCCTGGCTATCACTTCAGAACATCCGACTACAGGTAAGCATGCTTTTCATTCATTTCATTCATTTTATTTTATTTCAACACGGAACACTTGCTTCAGCCAAGGGCTGTTTTTCTGCAAGTCTCATTCTCTTTGACGTGTTATTAACAGATGAAATGAGTCGTTAAGATGAGTTAAAGCCCCACTGTCCTACTTGTAGCTACTTGCTCCCTCTATATAGAAAACTTCCCCAATCGGTGCCTGTTGGTCCCCCATGATCCTCTTTTTCGCATGTTAGTTGAGAGCTGAGTTAATGAGATAGCCACCTGTCAGTGACCTCGCTGTGTGGTCTAATCCCTTCTGGCCCAGTAGTGTTTAAAAGGTGTTACAAAATGGTGACATGCATGAGGAAGGGGGGGGGGAGCAGTTAAATGATAAAAATAAATAAACAAAGGGTACTTATAAATAAACTTGGATTAAATTAAACAAAAAAACTGGCGCACATGGGAAAGGGGAAATCCTGAATTGAAGCATACCAATTAAGTTAGAGCTCATTCTTCTTCGTCATCATATTAAAATTATTGATAATATTTATACATTTTCTATATTCATAAAACACACTGTCCTTTAGAAATAACATTCTTCCCTCGTCGTTTTCCGAATTTAAAAAAACAACATTGTTTCAATCAACCCATTATAATTATTATGTGTTTCATGTTTACATGACGAATGTTATTACGCCATTCCATGTCACTACTTTACTCCTCTTCTCATCACTCCACTATACACTTACCCGTTATCATTAACATAATTGAAATGAAACATGAATCCATAATATGACGACCGCTCGATATCCTTTCATCTACTAAATTCTGCACGGCAACCAAAACCGTTATACCTCCCTCTGCACAAACATATCCCTTTGTAAATGGCTTCTTCCAAATTTTCGACCTTCTTGAATCCGCCTCATCCAGGCCGAAAATAGAAGCCTTTATCGAATGAAACTAACTAGTGCAATATCATGGTGGCCGAAAAGTTTGCAAGAAACGTGCTATACGGTGGATGAAGTGTATCCATCTGAAGTCTAAATTAAATTTAGATACCAAGCTCGAAACCAAATAAAAAAAGATGGTACTTTTTAATCAAGTGCTCTTCAGTTTTGAGTCTCAGAGTATTGAGGCGTTGGAACTGAAAATAATTGTAACATTCACGATATGATTTAGTTTATCTAAAAGTTCCATAACAGTCTCGTTTAAATTGCAATGTATGAGGGGTTTCGAGGATAAAAACAGGAGGCAACGTTACGATACGGACGGGGAGGGGGTGATGCCCCCTTTTATTTTCTATACCGGTACATGTCCCACCCCGGCACCCGAACATCATTTTATTTACATATTTATTTATTTATTCTGCTTGTCTGAGATTTCGGACACCTAATATGACGGTTCATTAAAATGTGACATCTTTTTATTTGTTATTGTTGTTGAGACCCGTACCCCTTGAAATACCCCTGCACGGCACTCCGTGAAATCCCAGCGCCGAAACCTTTCACATAATGACCAATTTTCCTCTCATTCCCTCTCCTGCCACTCGCATGGCACCCTTTATCCTGGCTATCTTCAACACTACAGGTGGAGACCATCATGAATGGCGAACCTATCAAGAAGCGTCCGTCAAGGTGGAAGAGGTTCAGAACAAGGGAGGCGACCATCTAAGGAGGGGAACCGTAGAGTAGGTGAAGAGAAGAGAAGGATAAGGGGTATATAGAGAGAGGGCAGAAGATCTATTGGGATTCCGAACAAGGGAAGTAACCATCTCACTTTGGCAAGATATTCACCTATACTGTTGCTACTCTTCACCCGGGTGTTAAAATGGGTACCCGGTAGGATGCGACCGACATTGTTGGTTAAACAGTTTGTGATCGTCAAGTAACGCCTGGCTGGAATGCTCCCCAGGGAGTGGAGAAGTTGTGTACACACACTGTGTTCGGACAAGCACTGAATCCAACGACCAGGGTAATAGTAAATCTGTAAAGCGCTTAGAAACGTCCGAGATGTATTAAGCGCTATATAAAAGCTGAATATTATATTATTATTAACTAAGGAGAGAGCGAAAGTGGGGTGGGGAAGAAGGGACTGGGGTAAAGGAACGGTTATTTGGATGATCTGAAATGAAATACGGATGAAAAGGAAAAGAAACAAGGGGAACATTTTAAATTATGATTGGCCGGGAGAAGAAAAGCTTGTGCAATAAGAAGATAATTTGGAGAAGAGTTCAACATTATGAAAACGAAAAACCCCACGGTATTATCATCGAAAAGACACAATTACGGGTGTCACATAGACAAACTCACTGATGAAATTTTGCGTTTCATTTTGATCGTATAAAGCATGTAAAAGTAATTTAAGAATGTCAGTTGAAGCTGATACATGTATATCATGATGTTATCAAATTTGTAATTATGCTGAATCTGTATCTCATTATAAGAGTGTGGCCATTACTATAAGTCATCTTAAAGTAGCCGAAAATATAAAAAAAAAAAAACCATGGTAATATTTACTGTGCAATATTTATTTGCTGTTTACATGCTCAAACCGCTGTAATAAAACAAGAAGAGGTTTTAAAATTGCTTGGATGCCATTATTAATGAATTATCGATTAATGTGTAATGTGAAAGTGTTCATTTTATTGTAATTATATTACGTAATATACTTGTAAATAGTAATTGCTATTCGATAATATTTGATTCCACTTATCGTTATGAATGTATTGAGTGCTGGAACACTGTCATATTTTATCTTTAGAAAATAACCCTTGCTAAAAAAAACTGAAGAAATTATTGTTCAAGAAAACAGCTAGATACACAAATTACAGCATTCTTTTGCAATGAATCGACCGTTTTAAGACTGTTGGCATTTTGTATTTAGTTGACTTATCACAAATATAAGTCTGCCGTATATCTCTCCAAATTCTTGATTTTAAAATAATATTGTGTTGAGTTGAGACATTGTATTTTTGCGACTGGCTTCTGATACTCAGGAAAGTTAATTTTGCATTACGAAAGAAATTGAAATAACAAGCCTCACCGAAAGCCAATTTTGTATAAATATGTATCAATATTTCGTGTTTGCTCAGATGATTTATGTAAAAAAAAAAATATATATAAGTCACTACCTTCATGATAAAACTTCTTTTAATTACGATTACAAAAATATGCTGTAAAGACCTACTATACGTGATAAGAAAGCTGTTTATTGTTCTTCACATCGCATCTATCCATTTTACCTTCTGCATTATATCTTATACAATAACTTGCGGGGGATTTGTTATTTGTTTTGTTTTGTTTTTGTTTTTCAAAAGCAGCTCCCCCCGAAAACTGAGTTTTTTTCTGCTTTTAGTCACAGGGGAGTCAGTACACTTAGAACTCCCCGCATTTTCGCCTTATATTTGTTGGTGTTTTTAATTTTTTTATTGACTTGGCTGACATTGAAATCCGACTTTACATAGGAGTCCAAAAATAAAAGAGGTGTCGTATTTTGTAAGTTTTATATATATCATTCATTTCCTTGTAAATAAAAACACATAAACATGAATCTTCCACAATCATGATGAATGTATAGCTGTAATGCAAACTATTTTGTACAATGTGATTTCAAATTTTAAGATTGACATAGAGTGCCTAAATACATCTGTGCCTATAGCTTTCTGCTTTGAGTATCATACGACGTTAAGTGTTCTTGTATTCGGAGAAAATGTGATGTATGCGATTTCACAGTGCAATAAAATGAAGTAATCAAAATTGAACGTGTTTCTATTGTTTCCTTTTGTATTTAATTGTACAATCAGGATTATTCCCAAAATATATAACAAGTTACCTTGCTTGCTGTGATGTTTTGAAGTTTGAAAATATGATGACGATAATGATGACAAATGAATGAGCAATAAATGCTAATAATCAATATCACTGATATTCATAATAAGATCGTTATTCGATATGAAGGGTTTGGTAAGGATTTAGGTCCAACAATCTCACTTTCATGCTTATCTTGGTAACAGTTTTAAGAGTAAAAAGAAAAAAGTAAAAAGAATGAAGAGTTGTGTATCATAGTGAATTGGAAAATAGCACAGAGAGAGGGAGAGAGAGAGAGAGAGTGAGCAAGAGAGAGGGAGAGGGGGGGGGGGGGGGTAAATATATATTATAGAAAAAGATCTTTAATCAATTGATTTTAAACTTGAAATAAATAATTGTTTTGGAATTATAACAGCTTTTTGATTGTTAGATATAAAGTTATATCTTACATTCACGCGCTGAAAAGGGACGCTTTCATTATCAAAAATGTTATTTAAATAATTATTTTGCTAGCCTCATGTAAAGGTAAGAGATGATTTAACAAGAGAGTTACGATTGTTAGAAAGTTAAGTAGGTTTCTTATGAAATCTCATTTGACAAATGATTTTCAATGGTCATGTTATTAATGACTGAAATCCAATTTCGATACAATTCTCCATTTTTTGTGCACATGAAACATGTGGAAGATTGAAACTCTTCCATCCTTTATGACAGTGCAATTTCGGAGAGATGGACCATTTCATACCTGATTATTTTGTTATTCATGGTTGAATGTCTTTCATTTACAGTTCCAAAGTTCAATGTGACTGCACTATTTTTTAATTCAAGTAACTCTTTTGAATCCGCAAATTTACGTAACCTCAAATATTATATAGGTCACCATGGTTGGGTTTATACAAAGACCCAATGATTTCAAAGCTATTTTTTTCTTTCTTTTTTTCTTTTTTGTGGGGTTGTAATAATCCAAATAAACATCAAATAAAACTCTGAATGCCTTTTTCTCTCTCTCCTCACGAGTGCGAAGAGGATTGCCCTATTTACCAGGGGTCGCCTCATCAGTATTAATAGTGCTCTTCTTTATTACATGTCCTGCAATTATTATTATGATTACTGGGTTGCCTTGTACCCTTTTATTCCATCTGGGGATGTTTCACAAAGATCCCAAGTTAAACTTATCTCTAAATTGGACTTAACAATTATGGAAAGCCGTCAGTATCTTTGAAAATATTTTGTAAAAGTTATTTTAGAAAGCATGAAATGTTGATTCAAATTATTCATATTTTCTATTATCAAGGAGATTTCGTGTTCTTGATGTGGAATATATGAAATGTCTAAAATACTTCAATTTCTGCTTTTGAATACATTTCATTTTAAGGCTACAAATGGCTCTCCATAATTTTTAAGTCCGACTTAGAGTTAAGTTCTACTTAGGATCTTTGTGAAACACCCCCCCCCCCCCCTGGGTCAAGAGGGACAGATGTGGGTAACCCATTTTGTCCAGGTGGTGTATTAGCACCGAGTGTTGTTGGTTAGTGTTTTAATGGCAATACATTTTGACTATTATCACCAACAATTAAAAAAAAAATGATATGTATTTATATACATGACTTCTCAGTGAAAGCACCGAGTAAGGATCGAACCCAGGACCTTTTGTATGAGAGCCTAGAAAAACGGATTACGGTGCTCCCAAGATGGCGTCTTTACTGAAGTAATGAAGTGGACAAAATAAGTGCTTGACAAAAAAAACTCGTTCATGGTATGTAATATTTGGGATTCACTAATAGGAAAATGACCTTATTTTTAGTTTCAACATTATTATTGCCAATTTGATTTCTCTTTCTACCTGTCAAGTAACTGATTTAATTAAAGACCTACATAACACGTGTTTATCAATATCATAAACCCTATCATTACACCGCTGTTCGTTTATTTGAAATGAATGACTCATATACAACATATTTCTTTTTGTGGAGGGATGTAACCCACTGAATGTTATTATCTGTAAATAATTATTTTACATGGTGAATAAATAAATAGAACAAACAAACAAACAAACAAACAAATAAACAAACATCGAATATGGTAACATGACGAATATTGCTTATTTTGTTGATCACTACATTGGCATGCACACGTACCGAAGCACAATCCTCGTCTCACTATATTGTGTGTGTGTGTGTGTGTGTGCGTGCGTGTGTGTGTGTGTGTGTGTGTGTGTGTGTGCGTGTGTGTGCGTGTGTGTAGGTGTGCGCGTATTGGGGGCGGTCCAGTTTAGTTCAAGAGAGTGAGCTATCTATGCCTGCATGGTTTAAAAGATAGCTCACTCTCCTGAACTGAACGACAACCATAAGGACCGCACCAAATACATCCACAACCACACACACACACAAGATAAGTCTGTTTGTTTGAAATTGGAAAATTGTAAAAATAAAATATGTCAGGTCCAGTACTTAATTCAATTGTTTACGATATGTAATGTGTCACTTAAAGATAACCCTTGTGTAATCATATGCTTTTGTAAATATGTTAATTTAGATACCCTAATTTATATATAAACCCAAGAACCGTGCCCTACATAATACAAGCTTTGCTTTTTAGAAGATCTCCCACTTTATTGATTGATTTATATAATTGTATTCTCTGTTATTACTATTACCATGTACATTATGTTTTCTATATTGTATGTTTAGTTATAATAGTTATCATTGTCCATTATGTTCAATTATGTTATCTTTGATAAAGTGAAATAAAGAAACTTGAAACTATTTACAAGTATACAGTGTGAGTCAAAAAAAAGTTTACACTTAGAAAATTGCTAATTATTTTTAAAATCATCTATGAACAGTAAATTATTATACATCTTATGAAAGAGTGTTTTATGCCAAATCATTTGGTACCATATTTGTGTGGTATGTGCTCACGCTTGAATGAACAGGAGGCATTGTTTACGAGAGTGCAAAAATGGACTTGCGCCAAAGTTGCTTATCTGATGTTTAAATAAAACAATTGGGATTTTGGTATCAAATCGTTTTTTTTTGCAGATGCAAATAACATCCCTAACAAAATTAATCATGCCACACATATCAAATATCGAATATCAAATATCAAAGACCATTTGTGCGCGTCTGTGTGTGCGTGTGTGACTTTGCTTCTGCAAAAAGCAAATGCAATGCATTTTATTTGATACATTCAATTCATTCTCTCACTCCGGTAATCCCAACATAATACATGCTGTGGGCATCATTTTGGCGCAAGTCGATTTTTGCACTCTCTCAAATAATTCCACCTGTTCATCCAAGCGTGAACACATACCACACAAAAATGATACCAAATGATTTGGCATAAGACACTCTTTCATAAGATTTACAATAATTTACTGTTCATAGATGATTTTTTTTAATAATTAGCAATTTTCTAGGTGTAAACTTTTTTTTTACTCACACGGTATTACGTAATACAATTACAATAAAATAAACACTTTCATAATGCACATTTATCGATAATTTACGATTAATTGCACCCAAACAAAATAAAAACTTTAAAGCATGTAAAAGTCATTTAAATGCTTTATACGATTCTAATGAAATGCACTTTCTCATTAGTGAATGTTTGGTTGAATTTATTTTGCTAGCATTACGAGAGCTTTTTTACATGAATTCATGTTCACCATGCCACGATACTTAATAACGCATGGAACTCTAAATGGACAAGTAAATTTTCTAATTAAGTGACTGGTAATATTTCTCTTTAATCACGGAACAAAGCGGAAGGGAAAGGTAAGCCGAGAGACTTTAATTCTTGTAAGATGTCGCCCAGACTTTTTCATAAGACCATGATGTCTGGATTCGGCAAGTTTATGAGCTCAGCTTAGAGTCCTGTTTCCTCGTTTATTGAATTTTCGTAGCCCTTGTTGTCGTTGGTATTTTCATCTGCTTTGAGAGCCTAAAATAAAATAAAAAGTCAAAGTATTCGAATTAATTTTTTTTTTATCTGTAATAACATCACCTCATTAAAGTGTTTCTTTTTCATTTTTGTCGACATGACTTTTTTCTTAGTGAAAGGTACCGAATGATGATGTCCGGATGTTGTTCTTAGTAAATTGAAGTATTTCAAAGGAACAGCCGTAACTAGCCAGACGTGAATATCAGGCTTTAAGCACCCCGATGATATAATCTATTTTAATCGACTATCAATCAGCAGTGATTTTACAACAAATTATTTTGATGAATCTACCATATTCTTCTCTGCCCTCGCTTTTGGCATAATTATTTTACAGAATTCGTTTTGCATAAATTCAACCTCATTCAAACCTAAATACCATTTGGTTAGAATCACGTATTTTCACATGTGAGGAAGGTTAAAGTGAATACATACTTGTTTCCTTGGTAATGACAGGACGGCGTCATGAATGGATGGGTAGAAGATATCACACTCATCATTAAGAGCACCAATCACCTTGATAGATTGCATCACAGAATCTACAATCAAATGGAAGAAAGATTATTGGTGTTTCAATATTTGTTTACATATTTTATTGTTTACTAAACAGTTCAGACCAGCTGCAAAATAATGAATCTATATTTCTTTAAATGATGTCTTTTAATAGCTATGTATTTATGTATCATTGGGAATATTTCTTGATTTTTTGTGTGAAATCGGATTATTATCATCATCCAAACACTTTTAATCAAATGGACGATTCCATGTAGGTCGTATGGAGGTTATTTACATTTTCTAGTCTATTGACTTTACCCAAGTCTTCGTTGATGAAAAATTGTCGTGTAGTCACTATACTGTGGTTACAGAATCGCTTCCAATGTTTTTCATTAATTGTTTAATCTTAAGGGACACGTTACTGGTAATAGCAAAACTCATTATCGAAAATATTCATTAGAATCCACCAAGGAAACGAAAGATAATCTTATGAAATATATAAAAGAAGTAAAATCATAAATTTATCTCCCAGTATTGACCTGCGCATGAGCAGAAGACCGTTGCTACGCCAATCCTGCCGTAGTCCCTGACGAGAGCAAGTAAAGTATTGACGCCAGTGATATCGATGAAACCAAAGTGACTGCAGTCAATGAGGATGGAGTGGAGTTCATCCTTAGAAAGATCCATCTCTTCCGTCGCCATACTAGATTCCTGTTAACAACAATTATGATGATGTCATTTAGACAAACTATAGCAGATAAACCCATTTTATATAGCCACTCAGCGGAAACTTTACATGACCTGTGACGACATTAATTAGAATATATACAAGAAAAGAATTAGTTGCAAGCAACTAGTATACGAATGAGGGAGGGAGAGTAAGATAGAGAGAGATTGGAAGGGAGAGAGAGGGGAAGGGAGAGAGAGAGAGGGGGAAAGGAGAGAGAGAGAGAGAGGGGGGAGAGAGAGAGAGAGAGAGAGAGAGAGAGAGAGAGAGAGAGAGAGAGAGAGAGAGAGAGAGAGAGAGAGTTTCCCTTGATCACTGTACCCCTTTGAAAAGAGAAATGTGTTCACGTGAGTGGTAAAATCAAATTATATTAAACATTCTCCTTTGCTAATAATATTATTAAGCTTTGATGCATGAGGAATAGTTTGCACAGATTATTGTCTCAAAAGCTTATTTTCCATGCCGTATTTTCTCATAAGAGAATGAAGATGACGTACCATTTTCTCATCCATGTTCTTTTCCATAGCAGCCTGTGCCTTACGGATTTCAGCCAAACGTATTACAGGGTTGATTCCAGTGGCCCGTAAGACCCGCCGTCTGAACTGCTGGGCGTTGGCATAATACAGCGATGTTTGCATCTTAAAAATCACCATCCCTGGTTTGACTTTTACCTAATTTGAAAAATGAATGTTACAGATTAAATATATTGTCTTTTATGGGTCATACTTACAAAATAAAGCCAAACGTGAAATTTCAAAGGTGATTGCATTTATTTTGCTTTTATCGGAATTGTCAGTCTACATATTTTAGATAAATTTTTCAAAAATATCAAGATAATATACTGTACCGCATTCGTAAAGATTAGTTATGAAATTGAATTATTCAAATTTAAGGTATTGGGTCGTTGAACGGATGTACGAGAAATTAATTGCATTATATACATCATGTAGTTTTTTTCGGCCAATTATTTTTAAAATTACAAAACCAATTTTCAATATATATCATTATTTATAGCGTCCCTAATCACGCAAGATGTGTTTATTCTCTCACCGATTTGTAAGTTTTGACATCGCGATAGAGCTCGGTGTCGACCAGATGCCCTTGCACGCTATAGTTTGGAAGCTGAGTCCTTACGATCACGGTGAAGAGACCGTAGACGACCCCGACCCCGAGACCAAGATCCACACCGAGAATGAACACCGACAAGAACGTCACAACAAAGATCGACTAGGATTAAAATAGGCCTACAGTATAATTATCAGGGTATATGCAGCGTGAGATTTTTTTTACAATGGATATCATAGCCCCATCAAAAACACAATAATACTTTTTAAAGATATTTTTGGGGTTTATTAAAAGGATTGTATTTCGAAGAAATATAACGTGTTATGTTTGATTTACATTGCTGAGGAAAATTTGTTAGCGTAGAGATATACTTCTATTTCGTATGCCAATCCTCAGGGCTTTACTTCATACATTTTTACTGGCAACGCGGTCTGATCTACTAAAACCAAAGTTGCCATGGAGAGATCATGGAATTTAAAGTAGATTTTGTTAAACTTGTAAGCTCAGACTAAACGAAGAAGGGAACGCCTGAGTTGTCTAAAATATCTATCCTTATAACTGAAGAGTACATTTTTACCGTATAGTACTATGACTTGGGGAGTGATTGTAATAGTTCATCCAGAGTAAGATACGATGAAAGAGAAAAGAGTTTCACTTACACAGTCCACTTTGGATGTTTTGAATAATCCTCTAATCTCTGTGATCTGGAAAGCGATTCTTCGTAATACGTAAATGATGATCGCAGCCAGTACAGACTATTGTTTTAAACACAAAATGAATATTGAAATAAATAATTGCAGAAATAATTGTGAGTACAGGTATGTCTCAATAAAATATAACACAATACAATTTTATTTACCATCCCTTAGGTGTTTAAAAAAAATGTTGTCTTGCCCTTTGCGACCGACCCCAAAATCTTAAAATCTACGGTCGGCTTTTTAATAAAATAAAAAATCAAAACAATTTTTAGAAAAAATATGTTTAATGAATAAAAAAGAATGTACTTTGTTTGTTTAAATGGTATATATATATATATATATATATATATATATATATATATATATATATGCATACAATTGTCAAATTATTCCCCAATTCTCACTCGTCTTCTGCCCTAGTTTCAAAATCCTGCTAGCGTAAACAAGTAGACCCCGGCCTTGTGTACCTGTATATACCATGCACTGCGTCAGCTAGAAACCAGCGAGATATGGGCGACGTTCTCCGCTTTTAGTTTTTCGGGCGACAGTCACTGTTTTGAAGGGGGGGGGGGGGGAGGTTCTGGCACCTAAAGGGCAATAAAACATCCTTTTTTTAAGGCCTTATAAATAAAATGTCCGTACGTGCATTAACAATCATTTTTCTAATACGACCATACTGTAGATTATGATCCTTTACCCATGCAAATGTGTTAGAGCAGGTAAGGTGACTGAGAGAACTTACCTTTGGTAACGGTTCAAAGAGGGGTCCGATGAAGAGAAGAACAAACATGACGATAATAGATGAAACCAACATGGAAACCTGGCGATAAAGAAGGCGAAAACATCACTGTTTGTAGTGTCAAGAATATTCGATGTCGATGTGAATGATTCAAGGCATTTATTATCATGTGGATTCACGGGGAGGGGGGGGGGGGGGGGGGGGGGGGGGGGGGGGGGGGGGGGAGGGGGGGGGGGAGGGGGAGGGGGGGGGCCTTGCCTTTAAAAAAAAAAAATCAAAAATTCAAAATAATTTGTTTTAGGTAAGTGATCACACACCCCCCCCCCCCCCCCCCCCCCCCCCCACTGAGCGAAATATTGGTGGCGCGATTTTCACACTTTCGGGGGCAAACACGAAACAACAAAATGTGCTCACTACCTCCCACCCCCCCCCCCCCCCCACTGAGCGAATTTTGGTCTGCGCGATTTTCAAATTTTAGGCCCCCCCCCCCCTCTACCGGAAAATCCTGGATCTGCCACTCTTTATTATAATGCTATAACTCTGTTCAATTAAAAAATAAACAGACTTAATTAAATGAATTATCAATTGAATTATATTTTCTGTTGAAAATTGCTGCATACCTAGTCATAAAAGAATTAATTTTTAGTACTGTTTGGGAATAAACCAGACTGATTAAATCAATGACATTAGTCGTATTCACCTGTGTTTTTCCTCCAGTGTCATCTATGAGAGCTACCCTCCCCAGACCTGAGGCGGACACGAAGCACAGAAAGAAGGACGACGTGGCATTCGACGCACCGTAACCAAGAAGTTCCTTCAAATAGATAAAATGGGAAAAGAGAACTGAGAATTACGGCTTTTATTCTCTAACTTTTCTTTTACAATTGAGAGTGAAATGATTGATGTGCATATTCAGAGTAAATTTAACCATAAGCATACAAATAATTAATTTATTATAAGCTACAATATATTCTGATTGGCTATTGAACGGTTGATCACATGACCGAGGAGACCGACGGCGCCATACGTGAGTATATGCACGTATGCTAAACATAAGTGGTTGGTCCCAAAACTTCTATTAAAAAATGCCTTGGCCTTAAAACGGATAAATGAGAAGAGTACATCTTGAGAAGAACAATTACAAGTATAGTAGGTCAAATTATTATCAAATTAAACCTACTTGATTCGTATCAATTTCGTAATCGTTCTTGCTAGCGAATATTTTGGCGAGTGAGACGGACACTGCGAATCCCACGATTGCTATTGCGATGGCATCTCCTATTAGATCACTGACTCTCACTCCCGATGGCAGAGATGGGATTGTAGGCATGGGGAATCTAAAATGTGAAGAGAAAAAAGTAATGGTTGCGTTTTTCAAAAGTAACTTTTGACTACAATTATGACTACCGTGTCGGTCAAGTGTGCCGTCGGAAAGTTATTTGAGTTTCACGAGACAGACGACCCATGAGATTGAAAACCCACGAGACCGACAATCTCTCGGGCTTTTTGACTTTTCTAAGGGCTCACGAGACCAACATTATCAGTCTCGTAGGCTGTCGGTCTACTGAGATGTCCCGACTTGTTTATAACTGTCTTTTCACGGCAATAAAATAAACTGAAAGAATAAAAATTAATTAGATAATTAACAGTATCTAAGTTTAATAAAAACTTATCTTAGCTTACCCCGTAGGGACATCTCCTATAATCTCAACGCCATATTTGTCCTCGACATTTACGAAGTAGGATATGAGAATTGTGATGATCACCTAAAGATACACAACAAAAATATGCTCATTAAGAATGGCGTGATGACAATGAAAAGTCTTTCAAATAATCCTAAACAAAAGGAGAATGTAACAAAAATAAATGAAATAGAATTATTATTATTATCATCATTAAATAAAAGTTGTGGTTGCTTTTAAGGACAGGATCGGCAATGGCAGAGGAATAAATTTTATGTATAATAAACAAGTACGTTATTTACGTGGGCCTTGATAGCAAACTAATCTAAAGGAAAGCAGAAAACCAGAAAGGCAGACTGGTGAAGGTTTGAATGAAATCGGACAAAAAATAAGAAAGAAATTAATTTTATAAAGTTGTAATCACCTTAGGTATGGACTCTTCAAATTGGCCTAATAAGTAACGTCTCTGCGATGTAGTCGCGGACAACTTTCCCATTTGGTCCAACACACAAACGACTAAATGTTCTTTTTTCAAAAATGTATGACTCAGGAGGGTCTTTTCTCTTTAGAGGACCTATAATAATATGATATCCATATTCCATAACATATTTTGAGCAGTGCCCTAAGGGAGAAGGCACTCATATTATGAATAGCGACCCTCATTTCGTATTATGAATAGCGGTGCTTATAAATGTTGTGATTCTGCGGATGTACTGATAGTGATAAACGTCAATGACCCAAAATATATTCAAAAGGAAAGACCACCGTGACAACAAAGATTAAGAAGAGAAGGTTTCACATAGTCATAGAATTCTAGATCACGGCAAAAATGGGCAACTCTGTTAATATGTTCTTTGTGGAGTTCTATTTTATTGATTTGTACACATATCAAAATATCAAAATAGTTGTTTTACAAAGGAATTGATGAAATGATGAAAAACTTTGGTTGATATATTTCAAGCAAAACACAGAAATAAAAATTGTATTTTTGTTATCAATATATAACTATCATAAGTTTTTATCACAATAACAAACAAAAAAGATAATAATAACGATAATAATAATAATTATAATAATTAAAATAATTACGGTATATAATTATCGCACATAATAATTATGACATTCCGTATCAATCAATCATTTTTGCAACCATAATCGGTGCACGGGATGAACGTCCTCTCTAATATTCTGAACATATAAAATCCGTTGCGAAACATATGCATTAGAATACATCCTTTCATAGAAGGATAAGCACCAAAAAAAAAGATTTTAGAGGACCATTGATAAAAGCTGAATGAACTTACGACGAAGAGCTCCCAGGGAATTGGTATTTTCAGCTGCTTTTTATACCTCTCAGACAGGTACTTGCCGGGGGCTAGAATCAGAAAAGTGAGCACTCCGAAAGGAAGAGTCGCCACATTCGTCTTAGGAAGGTTGATAAAGATATCACGCCAAGTCTGTCACATAAAGGATAAAAACTTGCATGTCATGTATGCATTGCTTAGCTTTATGAATGATACAACTATAATTAAAATCATAGTCAATAAAATACACTGTTGTTCATATAGTTGGAATATTTTTGTTTTACCCCAATTTATGGAATTATTTTAAAAATAATTTAAAAATAATAGATCTAGATAATAGTATACATTTTCAGATTTTATTGAATAATAATTTGACAATGTGTGTTTTGCGTGATTGCTAAATCATGTGTATGCTACTATGCTTGTCAACTAGGGGACCGACGTCCTTAAGTCATAAATGACAGTAATGAGGATTAATGCCCCACAAAAGGGCACTAATAAAGCACATCGACACAGTTTTCATCCTGGGGCCTCACAGTTACGAGGCCATTGTTTTGTCACTGAACCATGACTGTACGCAGCGGGGGCTAGGGTAGGGGGCAGTTTCCATAAAAAAAACCCAGAAAATGCAATAAATTTTTAATAATTTATTGCATTTTACCCCGGTTCCCAACATAAAAAAATCCTCTGTGTGCCCATGCCTTGAGCCATAATACATGGCCGTCCAGAGGATTTTTTTTTATGTTGGGGACCTGGGTAAAAAGCAATAAATTATTGAAAATTTATTGCATTTTCTTTTCTTTTTTTAATTTTCAACTTACATAGATAACACTGAAGGGACCAGCATAACGAGGGAGAACCAGACCAAATAATGGCGCCACCTGACTCGTGATCACGTGACATGCTGCTCCCGTGGTGAATGCCCGAATGAGTGGTTGAGCGAGGTACGTGGTGACGAAACCAAGACGACATATAGCCATGAATATCTTAAATGAGAAAAGAGTCATTAAATGTTACTAAGTCACCACTTATACAAATATTCAACTCTTCTTTCCTTTTATCTTCCCCGATTTCGATGTTCAAAATTGGCCAATAGAAAACGGGGAACTACTTATTTTGATATGTTTACAACAAAAAGTGCTTGAGGGCATTTATGAAACCACTAAATGAGGGTTTTTCTTTTAATGTGCCGGGAAGGGCATTCCAATATTTTGGGCCAGTGAAAGGAAAAATTCTGCTGAAAAATACCGTTCTTGTTTTTGGTATGTGATAACATTTTACTTTTCTCGCGGGATAACTATGGAATTCAGTATTTTTGTTAAACATATTTGAGAAAACTTGTGGCAATTCATTTTTCTGTAGTGTGTACATGATAAATATACCACGGTTATAGGAAAATAAGACGTGTATCTTCAAAACATTATTTGCTTGAAAGAGTTCATGAGTATTAGCGCGGAAATTGGTGTGACATTTGATTCGCATTGCTTTCTTTTGTAATAGTAGAATTCTATTGAGTATTCCATAATTTAAAGTAAAGACGTACTAAAGTCAAATACAAATTAAGCAGTATACGAGATGGGATAAACAATTTTATCTTGTTCAAAAATACCAATATTTCTAGAGAAACATTATCAACATGCAGCTTCCACGAAAGTTTATCATCTACTATTATTCCTAGGAACTTCGTAGAAGATACCTTTTGTATGACAGTAAGTACAATATTTCCTGGTAAGTTATCAATAATATTACTAAAGAGCATTGTGTCTTTATAAATTCAATGGCAATTTTACCTTGATCCAGCCAGTAACTTCTCGTAATTGAGAGTTAATTGTTCTCATTAAAATTACTGGGTCTTGATGAGAACAGAAAATTTCAGAGTCGTCAGCAAACAAAATGAAGGACAGGGTTGTTAAAGACATGCACAAATCATTAATATAAACAATAAAAAGTAACGGACCTAAAATAAAAACTTGAGGCACGCCACATTCAATGGTCTTTATAGAAGAATGTGCATCGTCTATTATTATTATTATTAGTAGTAGTAGTAGTATCATTATCTAACTAAACATATCACTTAACTTGTAATGGAATGTGAAATCGATGCATAATGTGGCCGAAATGCTGTGCTTACATGTTTCGAAATAAGAAAGATTTGTTTCCATGCCACGATTCGTCAAATAAAAGATGCAAAGGGAAATTAAACCGATCAACCGATATCTAATACTCTTTGAAACGCTACTTGGTACTGATTGCTTTATAATATTAGCTTGCTCATATTAGCTTGCCCCTATTCAGATAGCCAGATCTAACTTGACCCTGTGTTTCTGATAATAGTGGTGGTATAATGTGGTGATTTAAACCTAGGATTAGCGTTAGTCTAGACTTAACTTGAACCAGCGATCGGAATATGAGCTAATTCATCATGCTAAATTTCGCATCAGCGTACCCACCTGTATCAAACCGACCATAAGACACAGTGTGGTATGAAGCTGAATTCTCTCGTCACAGATTGGTCCACACGGCGCAGGCGTAGTAGCATTGATCATAGATGTGGGAGTGGTGGGATAGGGGGAGGATGGTGATATGGTTGTGATTGGTTCGATTGTTGATGGAAGATCAGTGGGTGGATACCTTTCAGCTAGTATCCTCTCAATGGCATCACGACAAAGAATACTGACGACACCAAACGTACCTGGATGAATAAAAGATTAGCCTTTTTCTTACGTTTAGAAAGTTGATTACGATATTTTTAAAGCGATAGGCCTACTTGTAATGCACTGTATTAGAAAATGTATTATTATAATGAGAGAAATAATGATTGAGGCAGAGAGAATCAATCACGATAGTTATCATGAAATCTGTACATCATTAATTATTAGAGATGAGATGATAAACAAATTCATACACTTTAGGCAAATAAAAGACTGTTTTAAGTTTGTAGTTCTTCTTCGTGTGATATATATGGCCATGACATTCATTCGTTTTGTAAATGTGTGTACATGTGTTATCAAGTATACCCTGGTGGCGATAAAGACATGACAGATAGGGGATGAGAAAAAGGAAATAGGTAGAAAGTGACAGATGAACAGAGACAGAGATAGACAGAGCGAGAGAGAGAAAGAGAGAGGGAGGGGAGAGGGGTGAGGGAGAGAGAGAGAGAGAGATAGACAGGGGGAGAAGGAGGATGGGGGATGAAGGATAACTTACACGTATGTACAATGCCTGTGTGTGTGTGTGTGAGTGTGTTTGTCTCAGAGATAAAGGTGAGGGGTTTTATATGGACACATCTGAGAAGTATTTATCTTACCTACTGACGTATGTCTGGATGAGCCCATGAAGAAGAAGGCTAGAGGTGCAAAGAATGCTGTATACAGACCGTACACCGGATGTAAGAAAGCCAACAGGGCAAACGCCATACCTGTATAAAGTCATTAATCAAATAGGAAATGTTAATCAAAGTTGTACTTGTACAATTATTATTGTACGTGTAATTCATCTTTCATGATTCAGTTCTACGAGTCATGTTAATCACGACACTTAACGTTTCGTTAGATATATTCTAAAATGAATTTTGTTTCAGTTTTGCTTAAACATTATATTTTGAAAGATTAAGTACTCTTCGCAATCTAGGCATTAGTGAGAATACAATAACTAAGTTACCTAAATTGTATATAAATGATTTTGGTATGGAGGAGGGTACATAATATATTATTTCAGACTACCATAAATGTAATTATCTCTCAAACTGTCTTAAATCAAATCATGATACAACCTTTGATCTTTATTTCATGAAGGCCAATGACTAATGCACCAGTAACTCAAAGCAACGTTTGCACAGTTCATTAGGCATTCGCTTTTTGATATGACGTCACTAGTACGTAGTGCGTCAAAGACGACGCAAGTCATTGACGCAGCCATACGTCAGCAAATGGCGCTACGTATGCAATAGGCATCAAACTGCCATGACGCATGGCGTAATTAGTAATGGCGAAGTACCAGGGATACTAAACGAAATATTCTGTTTTTCCCCCACCGACACCTTTTCACTTAAAGGATGCTTCCCAAGTGATTTCAAAAGAGCCAAGATTATTCCAGTACCAAAAAGTAGTGAATCAAGTGACATTGGCAATTATAGGCCAATTTCTTTATTGTCCTGTCTGTCAAAGATACTTGAAAAGGCAGTCCATGCTCAGCTTTATGAGTATCTCCAAGAATACAAACTGCTATCTCAGCGCCAATCGGGTTTTCGCCCAAAGCATTCAACTGCGACTTGTCTAATTGAAATAACCGATTACTGAAAATAGAATCAACTACCACTACTGCATTTTCGTCTACAAAATACTCAATGATCTAGCCCCTTATTATTTAGAACCTTTTGCTTGCAAACGTCCAGTTTACTATGTTACTCGTCATTCTACCTTAAATCCCTTATTTATCCCGAAACCCAAGACTGAATTTAAAAAACGATCTTTTTCTTTCATCGCTCCAAGCATCTACAACAATCTACCGACTCATATTCGCACGGCAACTTCACTCCAAATGTTCAAAAACCAAATTAAATCACTAAGGAGTGACGTCACGAAAGGAGTGACGTCACGAAAATGATGAGGAGTGACGTCACGAAAATGATAGCTTCAGGCGGCGGTTTTGAAGGCTAGGCAGAAAAATATCTAAATCCTCTCGATCCATGATTTTGTACGTACCGAAAATCTATGCAGTAGTATAAAAGAGAGCAAAAGTCATACTTCTTCAGAAAGAGATCCATATTTTCTCAGGAAAAAACAAGATTCTACGAAAAAATCAGCAACCATGGCGAGCAAGACACGTGAGGCGGCGAGCAAGGCAAGTGAGGCGGCAACCAAGGCAGACATGGCCGAGCTGACCAACACGATTGTGAGTCGATTTGATGGGCTGGCCGCCAACGTGGCAACGATTAAAAAAGACATTACCGAACTGCGCAAGGGACTAGAAGACCTAAAAGCGACAACTATCGACTCATCCGCAAGAATAAATGATTTAGAACAGCTAGAGCATACCTGCATTAAAGAACGAACGCTTTAAGCTTATCTGCCGTAGTTTACAGGAGGGATTAGACCGCTCAGCAAGGTCACTGGACAGGTGGTTATCTCATCAACTCAGCTCTCAGTTAACATAAGAAAAAGAGGATCATGGGGGACCAATGGTCACCGATTAGGCATTGTTTGTTATATAGAGGGCGCAAGTAGCTACCAGTAGTGCAGTGGGCCTTTAAAGGCAGAGAAGGAGCTGAGAGAAGCCATCTTGGCGATGGACATTCACAACAGAAAGCAGAACCTACTGATATACGGAATAGCAAAGGAAGCAGGAGAGAATGTGCAAAGAAAGGTACGAGATGTGATTGGAAATTTGGGGTTATCGGGAGAAGTTGTCACAAATAATTATGTCGTTGATAAACGCCCATCGACTGCCTCGTAGATACCCTGGCCCACCGGGAGAGGAGCGAGGACCCGACCCCTTGATTGTACGATTCGGTACCATGTTTGACTGTGATCTCGTACTACGGCAGTATCAACAGAAACAACGCGACTTAATGGTGGCTGCGAGGGAAAATCGTGATGCCCAGAACCGACTTCCATTCAGGCTCCTTATCGACCTACCCCCACTTTTGAAGCGACGCCGTTTCGAGCTGGAAAAATGTGCCTACAGATTAAGGAAAGAAGGAAATCAGTCAACGAGAATCCGCGTAGTTGGAATCGAAGTAGTGCTCGAGAAGCGAGAGAAAGGTTCGACATCGGCTTGGAAAAGAGAAGTTGAGTAGATTGAAGTTGAAAAATGTCATCATCATCATGGTCACCAGTTCATTTTCCTGTATATTTTGTTGATATTAAAGTTAGTATTGATACCGTCAATACTACTAAAGCGATTTATCTTCAACGATTGAAAACTTGAAAAGTGTGACTACTAATACTAGTATTACAGATAAAGAAAAGAAAGAAATCAACCAAGATTCCCGTTATCTGAATCGATTGTGATAATGAGACAGACCAAGGAAAAAAGTCTACATCTACATCGGCTTGAAGTTGAAGGACTAAAAGACCTAAGATATCAACAGATGGTGAAGATTTTTTAAATTTATCTTTGGTACATTTTCTTTTCTTTTTTTAATATAGGAATCAAATATTCAGTTTGTATCACTCCAAAGTGACAAATAAAATGTGAAGAATGTTAAGATTAAGATTCAAGCAGTTCTTTGGGCAATGAAGAAAAGCCATGCATGATGTACATCATGATAATTTGTATTATGTCCAATAGTAAATTACCCACTATTTTGTTGGGAATGTTGGTATGTAAAATAATGAAAGGAGAGAATGTGGATATAACTGTAAAACAGTTCGAAAATCAGGTAGATTATGCCTTGCATTTAGATTCTGACTGTCCAAGATATTTAGAGTGTAATGAACATAAACATTCTTTTGATTTGAACTTAAATTTCCTTATATCCATAGAAAATGTCATTTTCAGAAGATGCTCTGATTTTGATACGTTTCATTTTTTCACTTATTGTAGTACTCCTAAAAGAAGGAATGTAGAGAAAATTTTATGTTTAGAGGATGCTCTGATTTTGACACGTTTTCATTTTTTCACTTATTGTAGTACTCCTAAAAGAAGGAAGGTAGAGAAAATGTTATGTTTAGAGGATGCTCTGATTTTGATACGTTTTCATTTTGTAACTTATTGTAGTACTCCTATTAAGAAGGAAGGTAGAGAAAATTTTATGTTCAGAGGATGCTCTGATTTTGATACGTTTTCATTTTTTTTCACTTATTGTAGTACTCCTAAAAGAAGGAAGGTAGAGAAAATGTTATGTTCAGAGGATGTTCTGATTTTGATACGTTTTCATTTTGTAACTTATTGTAGTACTCCATAAAAGAAGGAAGGTAGAGCAAATTTTATGTTCAGAGGATGTTCTGATTTTGATACGTTTTCATTTTTTGCACTTATTGTAGTACCCCTAAAAAGGGAAAGATTATGAATCAAAGTTGTCAGAAGTAAATTTTCATTATACTTCCAGTCTCTGAATTGTTGTTTATCTTTTAATTTTCTTATGTTTTAAAAAAAAAGAGTGAGGTATTCGTTTTTGGGAAGGATTCTAAGGATCTGAGGATTCTAAAAGTCATATTTTTGACTTGCAAGACAGCAACATTACACTCATTTAGTTCATTGGCAGTGGAGAATAGTACTTTTAGTTTAGTTCTGGATGCAGGATTTGGCAACGCTAAAGAATGTATTCAGATGTACACTGTAGATCTCATAAGAAACCATGCGCATACCTTCAACAGGTGTCTTCCTTTGTAAATTTCAATAAGCCTTTATAGAAATGTACTTGCTTGAACTCTTGAACTTAAGATGTTGCACCATCTATCTCTATCTCTCTTTCTGTTACACTCCCTGCTATGTAAATTAATGTAAATCGTTGCTCTCGTATTTCAAAGGGTCTTGAGAGGATTTATTTTGGCCACAATGCTGTTGCCCGTGGCTTGTCGGTCGTGTCGTTACTCGACCTTTGTGTTTGATGTTTGTGTTTTTGTATGTGTGTTAGCTGTAGGTATTTATATTGAAAAAATCTTCCACAGGTAGTTCGTCGTCTTTTTTCGCCTCGGTACTCTCGTCTGTTGCAGGGTGACATTACTTTTATTTCGATGAATTGTCACGGCCTAGCAAATGATAAGAAAAGAGAAGATGTTTTGTTATATTTGAAATCTAAACAATATGATGTATGTTGTATTCAAGACACTCATTTCACTCCTGACATAGAAACAGAAATATGTCGCAAATGGGGAGGCAAGTGTTTTTTCTCTTATCATACATCCAGCTCTAGAGGAGTAGCAATTTTGTTTAAGGATACTATTCCAGTCAAAGTTAATCAAAGTAGAATAGACAATGGTGGAAACTTAGTAGTTTTAGATTTGACATTATATGAGTACGACATTACACTGGCGTCTTTATATGGCCCGAACACTGATAATCCAACTTTTTATACTGATTTACAACGTATCATAACAGAGTTCGAAAATCCACATGTTGTTATTTGTGGAGACTGGACTTTAGTGCAGGACCAGACCCTTGATACTCATAATTATGTTCATGTAAATAATCCTAGGGCGAGACAGCAGGTTAAAAATATGAAGGACGAATTAGATCTATGTGACCCATGGAGAATTAGATATCCTATGAAAAAATATTACACGTGGCGCCAGCCGAACCCTTTTAAACAAAGTAGATTAGACTTTTTTTTATATATCCTCAGAATTACTATCATTAGTTCATAAATCTGATATTTTATCTGGTTATCGAACAGATCACTCATTAGTTCGTCTTAGCTTGTCTTTAAATAAAATTAAACGGGGTCCAGGAATTTGGAAATTTAATAATTCTCTATTAAAAGATGAAAAATTTGTGTCAAAAATTATAAAAACTATAAAAGAGACAATTACATTTTATGCAAAAGATGAGGTAGAGTTTGATGAAAACGATAACATAGTTGGAAATTGTGAATTGTCTATCAATGACCAATTATTTTTTGAAACTTTGATAATGCTATTGCGGGGTGAATCTATATCCTATGGCTCGTTCATTAAGAAACAAAACATCAGTCGGGAAAAGGAACTGGAAAGAAATATCGAAGTACTGGAACAAAGACTAGTGACATCGAATGATAAGACCGCATTACTAAAAGAATTAAGTGACAAAAAGAAGCAACTTGAAACCTATCGCTTAAAAGTAAATGATGGAATTATCATGAGATCTAGAATCAAATGGATGGAGCTGGGAGAAAGGTCATCAAAATATTTTTTAAACTTGGAAAAACAGAATAAAGTAAATAAAGAAATACGGCAATTGTCAACAGAAAATGGAGATGTTATTAGTGGACAAGATGGTATATCTAACGAAATCTTTAAATTTTATTCAAACCTATATAAGGCGAAAGACACTGAAGAGGTAGATATAGACACATTATTAAACTATCCAGATATTCCTAAGTTAACTCCAGAATTGTCCACATTATTAGAAGGTCCTTTGAGTGAAAGTGAGGTTTGTTTAATGCTAAAAAGTATGAAAAATAATAAATCCCCTGGGCAAGATGGCTTCACCGTTGAATTTTTTCGTTTCTTTTGGCAATATCTTAAAACGTTCATTATCAGATCTTTGAACTTTGCTTATTTTACAGGAGAATTGTCGCAGTCACAAAAATTAGGAATTATCACTTTAATTCCTAAAGGAAACAAGCCTCGACATTTATTAAAGAATTGGCGTCCTATTTCACTTTTAAATGTTATATAAGAAATAGCATCTGGGTGCATAGCTAATCGATTAAAGCAAGTATTGCCCCGCTTGATACATGAAAATCAAAAAGGATTTTTGAAAGGCCGTTTTATCGGAGAAAATATTCGTTTACTTTATGATATATTATTATATACCGAACTTAATGATATTCCAGGCATGTTGTTGATGATTGATTTTGAAAAGGCCTTCGATTGTATATCTCACAAGTTTCTAATCAATGTCCTTGACTTTTTTCATTTTGGGCCATCGCTGAAAAAATGGATTAATCTATTTTATCAAAATGCTTCTTCTTGTGTCACAGTAAATGGTTTTTGCACAGAAAGATTTACTATAGGACAAGGGTGTCGTCAAGGAGACCCATTATCTCCATACCTGTTTTTACTTGTTAGCGAAATATTAGGAATTTTGATGAGACATTCCAATGATTTAATTGGCTTGCATCTACAGGGAAACAAAAGTAAACTACTACAATACGCAGATGACACCATTTTGACACTTAACGGTACAAAAGAAGATTTACAGAGCTCATTGAAAATATTGGGTGATTTTGAAGAAATGTCAAACCTAAAGATCAATATTACAAAAACTCATGTGATATGGATTGGGAAAAATAGAGCCTGCAAAAAACAGCTAATGCCAGAGCACAAACTAAATTGGGTATTAGAAGGTTATTCGAGATACTTAGGAATAGATTTTTCGGTTAACTTAGTAGAGATGGTAAATCATAATTATACTGAAAAATTAAAGATATAAAACGCCAAATTATTTCATGGTCCAAACGAACCTTAACTGTCCTCGGAAGAATAACTGTACGTCAAATCTTTGTTGGTGCCAAAATTGAACTATTTGTTGCTTTCACTTCCAGAACCGAATTCGCAAATTATGAAAGATATAAATCGTTCTTTGTATGCATTTATATGGGGTAACAAACCTGATAAAATCAATAGAGAACAAATGTGTCAACTATATAATAAAGGTGGAGGTTAAGATGATTGATATTTACATTCATGCTAAATCCCTGAAAATATCATGGATTAGAAGATTTGTAACTAATTCTCAGATAGAAAGTTTCACTTTTCACATGTTCAATTCATTCTTGCCCCAAACCTATTTTTTTCACCTGTATATGGGCTCACATTATTTTAGAAAATTAGCAGACTTGACTCCAAATCCATTTTTGAAAGAGGTCCTTTTCGCTTGGTCAGACTTGGTCGAACTTCTTATTGACGACATTGCAAGTCAACCTCTCTGGAATAACCCCCACATTAAAATAAATGACAAAGTGGTATTTTGGGGGGCTTGGAATTTACGAGGAATACGTTTTGTGAATGACATCCTAAAATAGATGGTTCTTTTTGTTCATATTTTGAGTTTCAACGGAGATTTGACATACAAACAAATGTCCTCCAGTACTATGGTCTTTGTAATGCAATTCGGTCAGGTTTTAAAATGACTACACATGTAGCTCCTAGTAAGGCCTTAGCACCTATCATTCCCGAAGCCGTGCACCTTGTGGTGAAAATAAATGTTGGTTGTTCACATATTTATCAGTCTTTGCTAAAAAACAAAGTAAAAGAATGTAAAGCCCTTACAAAGTGGAAAAGTTTTTTAGATTTTCAAGATGTACTTTGGGGTTCGTACTGTCAAATTCCATTTCAGTCAACAATAGATATCAACATGAGGTGGTTTCAAATCAAGATTTTAAATAGAATATTATATATGAAGGACAGTTTGTTAAGATTTGGTGTAGTGGCTGACAAGAAGTGTACTTTTTGTAGTAACAATGATGAAACTATCATACATGTTTTTTGCTTTTGTAACTATTCTAATGAAGTATGGTTGAAGTTAGAGTTCTGGATATTTCGTAATACGGGGGAAAGGATCAAATTTACAAATCAAAATAAATTGTTTGGATTTTGCGGTAGCAGTAATAATGCACTCAACTGTGTTCTGATGGTTGTAAGACAAGAAATATTTTCAGCTAAATTACGAAATCAACTACCATCATTTGATATAATTTTATCAGCTGTAAAACGTTATTATGAAATGGAAAAATATATAAACCAAACAAATCTCAGAGAGAATAAACTAAAAAAGAAATGGTTTCACTTTAGAAAATATTTTGAGAGTGTTGGAAATGTGCTAACATAAACATGATCATGTATTTTATGTTTGGTATTTTTTTTAAATTATATATTTAAAGTACTAATTTTGTCATAAATGTTTGTTTTTATCTGCCACAAAAGTTTTTGGCCGTGATGATTATTATCTGTGTCAAGCCATTATGTATGGAAATTATTTCTTTAATTATTTGTATATGATATATGGATGTTCTGTATATGATGAAATTTGTTTTGAAAATAAAGAACCCTGTGGAAGGGGAAAAAAAATTAAAAATAAAAAAAAAAATGTTGACACGCGCTTATGAAATCAAAAAAAAAAAAAAACAAAAAAAAAAATCACTCCCTCCACTGTAATGCATGCACTGGTACCTAATGTTATATCATGACTTATTACAGTTAGTTTTGTTTGTTTGTAGTTGTGTAGTCTGTAGTCGTTTTATTTCTTACCTTTTACCCTTTTGATTTTATGTCTGTTCTTTATGGCATGTGTATTTGTATATGTATTTTATATTGTATCAATAATATCTTAAATGTTTAATATTTTAGGCCTTATGTTCACTTTGATCTAGTTTTTAAGTTGTTTTAGTTCTATTATGGTATGTTGTTTATATAATGTCTTTGTTTTCAAAAATGTATTCTATTTTTTGTAAATCTTCGTATGTACAGGGCTCTTTTGTAAAGCAGGCCTCTGGCACTGAAAAGACTACCCTGTTTTTAAATAAAACTGAATAAATAAATAAATAGAAAAGTATGTACCTGTTTTTTGTTATTTTGACGCATTTGATTAAACGGCTTTTCACCTCAATATGTCGATTGCATTATTTCTTTTGTTTTCATGAGAAAGCTAGTTTTAGGCACCATTTTGTTTACCCCTGTGCTGGCTCTTTTCCCTTCAGCGAACATCAAATTATATGTCTTTTTGACACGTCTTGGTAACAAATTTTATGAGACAGGGCCCTGGTATGATATAACAAACGAACACTTCATGTCATTATTCTACCACAAAAGAAATAATTATAAAGAGTCTAGACTCCAGAATGTGGGGAGCGCCGACTTTCTATAGCCTTTGTGGGACATTCTTTGTCCCCCAAACAAAATCTGAAATTCAAATCTATTTTCATAATATTCTAGAAAGATAGGTACGAGAATGTACGTGTCAACGATATCATCATAGTTTCAAAGGAGAAAGATAAAAATTAATCGGTTCTAAAACGCTCGTCAATCTTAGATCCTCTATATTAAAAAAATGTACTCCTATATATTTGTTTAATAAAAAGGATTGCTTTTGCATTAGTCCTAAAATAAAATTGTCAAATAATCGTCGCTGGCAGGGGAATAGGAAAATATTGGGCATTATTACTGCCAAAATAAAAGCAAATCTATGTCACATTATTCAGCAATACAACGAAAAAAGATGTACGTGTCGTTGGGAAAAAGGGTATCTGTCATTTTAATGACATATTGGTTGAGTAAAGAGAAAACATTAGAGAAATTGTATCATTTGACCATTACGAATCATATTTGTTGCTTTTTCCTTGCATGAAGATCACACAATACGGATCAAAATTTTATCAAAGTTTAACATTTCAAATGATTTCTTTTGGATACATCGTCATCGTCATATTGAAGATTATATTAACAATCAATCCCTCGGATCGGTGCCCCCTTTACGTGGTACGTACGCCCTAGTTGCCCCCTTCAATTGGCACGTACGCCCTAGTTGCCCTCCTTCAATAGGCACATAGGGCGTATCCACTGCCTGCGATTGGGTACGCAACTGCACCCCATCTTAACTTGTTTGACAGCCTATAACAGGTGTAAACTTACTTATTGGTATGTTGACAATGCCGACTGTGATACCTGCCATCACATCTCCGACTGCATTGTTCCTTAGGTTATACTGACGTAGCCAATGAAATGCAGGGAAGATATAGACGATTAGACCTACACAGAAATGATATAATATAGGTGAGGTTAACAGATGCTTAAAAAAAAAAACTTTAATGGAAAGCTTAAAAAGTACTAGGCCTACCCATAATTTTAGTTATGTACTCATTTTACAGTTGAAGCAAGGAGAACTCGATGATTGAAGGGTGTAAACTACTTCCGGAATAAGTTTTAGTACTTTATATACAAACGAAACTTTTAAGTTAAAATAACATTTGAATTTTATAACAAGATATTCAATGTTTAATAAATCAAAAGGGTAACATTTGAGTATTTAGAAACTGATAAACAGTGAACAGAGTCCCCTTCGAACGACGGAATGGGATGAACGTATTTCACTCAATAAGCCAGTGCACAGTTGCAGTATGAGCAGGAGCAGATAAAGGACATTGCACACCAAATTGTGAATAACATGGAAACAAAATACTTTAAAGCAGTCTTCTTTACTGTTTCGGGTAACTGATACTTTTGGTCCTTTTGGAGCAACTTGGGGGCCCTGTTGTCTTCTCAGAGATTTAAACAATACCATATTTTATTGCGTCGTTCATAGTCGTTTTTCTACACATAACAGACATTTTCAGCCGAAATATTTGCTCTGAGATGCATAAAAACAATGGTGGGCCCCAACACATCAAGTTTGGGCACTTTGGGCACATTTTATTTAAAAAACAGTCGGTGCCATCGTTTCCTTCAAAACTTTACTTATGAATACACATTTAGAAAATCGGGGAACCCCATTTGGCCTGCTTCGAGAATTAAGAACCCACTCTCTAGGCATTAAGACATCGGCAAGCAGGGATGCCTTTCCTATTAAATCCTCCATTTTCTATCAGCCACACCAACAGACCGACTATACACCGAACGACAGCCAAGAGTTGCCGCCAAAGACCCTAAAATCGGTCGTATCGAGTCGAGGTATCAACAGCACTATGAACATGACAGACAAAGAAAGCGGACAAAATATACAGTTCCTCAGGTAGATAAAGGAACATCCCTTCACTGCTTTTATGTAAAAAGGCGAATATGCATGTGACACCTGTTCTACAATTTTTTATATAATAGCAGTGAAGGGATGTTCCTTTGTCTACCTGAGGAACTGTATATTTTGTCCGCTTTCTTTGCCGTGGTATTTCTAGAAACTAGTTTCTAGAAACACCACGGCAAAGGTAAGTTCGTATGTTTTATACTTTATACTTTCCATTTGAAATCATCTCAGTACTTCTTGTTTTCTTTTTTTATTGAAGCTGAGTGTGATGTTTCTGAAAAAAATATTCATATTTAGAAGAAAAAAAGACGATCTTTTTGCATTATGTGTGAATCTCATTTTCACCATTTGTCTAGTATCATCAACTGAAATTAGAATGCTTTTTTTTTTTAATTCTGCACATATTTTCAAAATGATCCATTCCCCAGAATCTCAAGATCCGTTTTTCTAAAATTCAACATCTCTTACCTAGAAACTGGTCTACTCCACACCGACATCGTTTGATCTTACGCTGTACGAATTCCCTCGGGCTCAGTTTATCCTTCCGTTGGTATCCATGTTGCTCATGAAATTCCGTCATCGAATAACAACCGCGGTCAATGACCACGCGATGTGTTACTCCATTGTCGCCGACATGCAAAACCTTCCTCCTCCGTCCTACGCCGTTGACGCCGACGTCGACGTCGCCATTTTGACCATCATCGTCACTGTTGATCACGTCGAGTTGGTCTTCGTCCATCGCGATGTAGAGATTTTTGTGCGCTGATAAAGACGATGACCTGTATATAAAAAAAAATTGGAATTTGTTAGATTATTTTTGATTTGAATTATGTGTGTATCTCCAGAATTTGAAAATTGAATGAAAAGGCCATATATCAATTTTCATAGATACATTTTAAAACAATAGAATAAGAATACAAAATGACAAAACTCAAGAAAGGAGAAAAACACGAGGCAACAATCTATTAGTTCTATCAAGTTCGTAGTACTTGTCTTTGTTCTAACTATTGTAACCATATTTGTAAAGAAAAAATGGTTTCCCTTCATCCGAATAGCTACCGAGATGGTCGCAATAAAAACATTAAAAGAAACAATATTCCTAAAAGCAGTAACTGCCAAACCATGGACCCTACTACAGATGGACTAATGATGTGAGTCTTTCTCTGATCACATGACCACCGCCACCTGATAATAGGGACTTTTAGATTTGCACGACGAGAACGTGGACTGTCACGTGTGACATCCTTTTAAGGCACTGTCGGGCACTGTCAGTGCCTTAAAAGGATGTCACATTGCCTTAAAAGGATGTCACATGTGACAGTCCACGTTCTCGTCGTGCAAATCTAAAAGTCTCTAATGTGTATGATGATGAGGACATACATTTGACGCGACAATGTTGATTATGTAATCACGCATCATCACAGACAAAAGAACCTTTTACATTTCTTCAGATTCTTTTCGCTGGGCCAGGGCCCAGAGTGTAGTTTCAGAAAAAGTATCGTGACTTAAGACCAGTTAGAGAAGCAGTGAACCCCAAATTATGACAATTTGTGTGATATTAGATGATTATTAAAGAAGTGGAATTTGGTGGACATACATCTGGACTTGCCAAAGTTTGAAAAATAAAAATTCTTTACTGTCCTACTGCCTTCCATTCCTTTGTAATGGATAGGATAAGTTTTAAAATGAAGTTTAAAATCATTGTGTTTACAGCCCAATTTTCAGGTTTCTCTTGTAAACTACTTCTAATTTCCTATTAAAACTTCATCTACATCATTACTCATATTTTTGCGTAGGCATTTTGTAGATTCTTCAAGGCACAGTTTAGGTTTTGTATGGCTGACTGGCGCCCAGGACTGGCGGCGGTCGTGATGAGATCAAAGCTTGGCAGCATGTTAGGAATGTCATTATGATACTTTTGATAGAGTCAGTTGCATGAATATATTATGGTACCGATCAGTGTCCATTTGTAGTATAGGTCCATGGTAGGACAAACAGTATAGCTTGCCCTACCTACAGAACAACACATAGGCCCGAATTCACAAAGGAGGTTTGTCGACAAACCTTGGTTTTCGTACGTCATATGACGCGTTTTACGCGTTTTTTACAAACCTGGTTTGTAAAGAACAAAAGGAGGTTTGAGCTCAAACCTTGCTTTGTGAATTCGGGCCATAATGTATGCAATTCGCATTTTGACTATTGAAGGACAATTATTTGTAACATGTGAATGAAATAATTTGTAGCGAGGCACTTAACAAAGATTTGTGCGTTCAATTTGATACATTACGAAAATGGTCTACTACACACACGCACAAGTCATTGACTTTTTATGTCAGACAATAATATTATTGACGCCTCTTATGCGACAGAATATTGATTCAAAACGTGAAACAAAATAACAAAACTTACCAATATCAGCCCATAAGACTTTCCCCGGTCTTAATACGAGATCGATAGATCTACCAGTGAACATATAGTTTGCGAATATTATGACATCGTAGACGGAATCGAAAGCCCAGAAAGAATTAACCCATTGCTTACGGGAACCTGGTGATCCCTGTGTTAAGTCTATGGGAACTACCTAATTCAGTAGTCAACGGCTTTTAAAAGACGTGATTACATTGTTGTATTTGGCCTTGAGTTAGAGCTCTCCACAGTTTGATCACAGGATATCATGGACTGCCTTTGTGACATACGGGGTCATTCCGCTGCCTTATACGATTTTATATTATTGTATTTGAGTGTTTACACAAAACCTGGCTCCCTCATAAAACAAATCGGAAAGCTATTCAAATTGCTGAATATGTCTGCGGTGACTGTACTAAATGTACCGTACTAAAACGTAACCTAACAGTCCAAAGTCGAGTTTGAAAAAAAAATTAACTAATATGATGATTTTTCTCTTTCTTCAAATCGTTTACACAAAACTTAAAACCGATTGAGGATATGCCGAAGAGGTCATCTGCATTTCTAAGCCTGCATAATGGACGGCGTTCAGACGGCCACTACGCCGACCTTTACGCCGACCTATGATTTCTCTGGCATATTCTCGATCGGGTTTAAGTTTGGTGTGATTTGAACAAAGAGAAAATCATCATTTGGTCATTTTTTTTCAAACACAACTTTGGACCATTAGGTTACGTTTTAGATAAAAAAAAACATGCTTTTAAGTACAGTCAACGTAGACAGCGACCCATATTCAGCAATTTAAATAGCTTTCTGATTTGCTGTTATGAGGTAGTTGGTACTAGGTCCCCTAGTTGATAAGCATAGTAGCATACACATGTTTTAACAGTCACGCAAAACAAACACTGGCAAATTATTATTCAATAAAATCTGAGAATGTATACTATTATCTAGATCTATTATGAATAAATCATTTTAAAAATAATTCCATAAATATTGGGGGTAAAACAAAAATATTCCAACTATATGAGCGACAGTGTATGTACAATATTGTACGATACAGCTGAATGACCTCGTCGGTCACAAAGGCAATCGATGATACCATTTCATCAAACTATGGAGAGCTCCATCTCAAGGCTAAATAAAACTATGTACTCACGTCTTTCAATTCTTTCTGAGCGATCGATTTTCTGTCTACGATATGATAATATTCGTGAACTATCTGTTCACTTGTAGATCTATTGGTCTCGTATTGAGACCGGGGAAAAGTCTTTATGAAATGATATTGGTAAGTTTTTTAAAATTTTCTGTCACATTACAAATCCGTGAGAGGCGTCAATAATTAATGCCTGACGTAAGGAGGACTGCGTCAATGACTTGTGCGTATTTATGCTTGATTATTTACGTCTGGAGCCGATCTTAAACGTCACCATCCAAAATACGTGACTCAGTTTCAAACCGGGATCCGCCTGAGCCAGTTTGTGGGCGAAGACAGAGAACTGACCAAGTGAACGTTCTGCTAGACCAACTCACAAAGTAATTAAAGCATTCAGGTATTAAAATTCAAATTATGTTTGTTATATTGATAATCTGCTGTGCGTGCTCCTTTCTTTTTTTAAATCCTATGTACAAAATATTTGTGAAAGTAGAAATAAAATGAAATATATGAAATATGAACTATGATATCGTTAAAAAGTGAAGAAAAAAAGAAGCTCTTAGTGTGTTTAGGATGACTGTTTTAAAGACCGTCACTTCTACAAGGCCAGAAGGGATTAGACCACACAGCGAGGTCACTGACAGGTGGCTATCTCATTAACTAAGTTCTCAACTAACATAAGAAAAAGATGATCATGGGGGACCAACAGGCACCGATTGGGGAAGTTTTCTATATAGAGGGAGCAAGTAGCTACAAGTAGGACAGTGGGGCTTTAAAGGCTCGTGATGTGCACATGTAATAACGTAATCGAAATAACACCCGTCGGCAACGGGGCATTATACTGATTTTGTTTTATTGGCACAGCGATATGTTAAGGGAATAGGGGTTTAGAGAGGAATCAAAGTGCTCCTGTATCCTAATGAATCTGCCACTGATTAGAAATTAAGTGTCACATAGTGAACCGTCTCGGACTGACGTTCCAAATGCTCATGTAAATATTTATTTGGATATTGTGTTTGTTTTAAGTCGTCCAGTCTGACCTCGATCGGCTACCAGTCAGTGTCCAGTCGTCCGACTGGTATGACGTCACCATGATTCACATAAAATCGGGCCTTTTCTCACAGTGGAATAGGCCTGCAATAGGCCGGTTTACTAACATATTCAAAGTAATATGGACGTTTCTTTCCTGGCCACATGCATAGCGACGAGTTTTACAATTAACCTGTTATCCATGAATAAACTACAATATTTAGAATCCAGTCTGCATACATCACCTGTTGCTATGTCGAGTATGTCTAGGACAAGCTTTCAGATTGTCAAGAACTACTTTTGTTCAAAGAGTATGCATAACATTCGAACATGTTGGTAAACCGGTCTATTTCGACGCCTTCAATACAGATAGTCTACATACAAATATACGGTACCAACATCGAGATATAAATGTAAAAGTTATTTTAGCCCAATGCACATGGTACGTACTTCCATTACCGCCATTTTCGTAATGTAATCAAAATTAATACATAAATCTTTGTTACGTTCCTCATTACAAATAATTTCATTCACGAAAAATTGTATTTCAATAGTCATAATACGAATTGCACACATGCCGTGCTGTTAGGTAGAGCAAGCCATAACGTTTGTCCTACCTAGCAAAAACTAATGTATGTAATTTGCATTCTGACTATTGAAATACATTTATTCGTAACAGGTGAATGAAATATTTTGTAATGAGGAACTTAACAAAGAATTATTTTTCATTTTATGTTCTTTATTGGCTTAAAATTCATAAGCATTAAAATTCATGAGCATTCAATCTGATTACATATACGAAAATGGCCCATTACGCCAACTGATTATTCAATTAAATAGAACTAGAATTTATGCCATTGTAGGCAGTGAATAATAGACCGTAAATATAATAACCGCTGCGCTCAGAGTCGTCATACACATACTCTGTATATGCACTCATTTGTATGAGTAGATTTCACTCAAGTTTGCCGTCGAAAGTCGATTTTCGGATAATCCCGAAAATTTGCGCTAGGCCCTTTTTCAAGAATTGACGTTCGTACCTATAGACCAGGGGCGGCCATCCCGGGGGGGACGGGGGGACACGTCCCCCTCGATTTTATTGCCCCCCCCCCCCTGAAAATTTGGAAAAAGTGCAAAAAAAATAATGTACAGCAAATAC